AAGCAAAGTAATATCTGACTTTAGCAGCTATTAGAGCATCCCTCGTCATTTAACCAGAAGCGTAGACATGACGGTTAACTTTATCAATATGAAGTATCAGACAATTTTCAATGAAAAGAAGTCATGAGAGAATGATGAATGATGAAAGTCCTAATGCGCCACGCAAAACTTTTGCATCACTTCAAAGTGCACTAGTCTAAAGTGTATTAACATTTGCTTGATAATACTGGAATGTAAAAATATCATTTATTTTTACATACCGTGCTGCCACGTCATAATTTTTACATGAAGGTACAAATATTTAACTAATTGAGCAATACATTTCAAAATCACTGAATTGGTGTTTTAACACAGAAAGCATTCTTCATTTCAACACAGATTTGTTACCGTTCAGTACGCCTAAATTAACACTTCGACCAGTCGTCTGATTTACCACGGCTGACTTTCGATGGCATTTGCTTGGACGGCCGCTCTCTGACTCGAGTTCCTAAATTACATAAACTGTTCGGATCGTGGTAAACTACATTTGATATGTCATCCAATATCACAACAGAAATGCTGCAGTGCTCCGCAACGTCGCAGATTACAGTTTCGACACCATCGGGTCTACGTTTTACAATTTCGATGATGCCATGTCAAGTGCCAACGCTTGTGTCACACAATAAAACAGCAAGGACAACGTAGATCCACCATGGTCTCAGGATCATTCTTTCTGAAACTGTACTTATAAGGATGCTTGCTCAAGTTAATGTTAGCTGCAGCTGACTTTGTTAGCTCAATGATGATGACCTTTTTCTCGCCGACGGACGGCCGGCGCCACCGACGTCTCTGCGCGCTGTCCTAACGCCAGCTTCAGCTCAAGAACCCTTATGACCTTACGGTTTATAACTCTTAGCCTACTTAGAATGTTTATGGCCTTATTACTAGTAATGTGCCCTGACACAGTCTTGGAAAATGGCTCTTGATGCAGAAAAGATCATAATGAGCTTTCATTGGGTAAATTCTTACCTCATTCAACAATTACCACAAACCTTAAAAGCTTTTGCCACCAATATTACCAATCTCCATCTCGTCGCGACTCGAAGTGGTTCTTTCCAACTGGTAGTACGCCGGATCAATATTACTTTGGTGCCGGATCACTCCACAGGTAGAACTTCATCACCGCATTACGTGTCGATAAAGTAAGGTCCACGCTCGATTCCTCTCCCGAGACGAGGCTGCCTTCGTGACCGGCCGGTGGAACCTTATCCGAGCGAGTCGCTATCGACCGAGGTGGGTGGCGCTGATCAAAACACGCACCGCCGGCTCCCGAGCACGTCGACAGCCGCGCCAGAGCACGACCAGAGCACGGCCGGAGCACGGACAGAACACGGACAGAGCACAGAGAAAACACGGACAGTCGACAGAATACGGGCAGCACACGAGCAGAAGATGTACAGAACATAGACAGAACACGCATAGAGCACGGACAGAACGCTGACAGAGGATTTGGGAGCACGACCAGAGCACGGATAGCACACCGACAGAACACAGAACACGGACAGAACACAGAACCCGGACAGAACATGGACAGAACAAGGACAAAACACGGAAAGAACACGTACCGAGGATGGACAGAACACGGGTAGATCACGGATAGAGCATGGACAGAACACAGACAGAACCCGGACAGAACTCGGACAGAGCACGGAAAGTACACGGACAAGGCTCTGTCCCTTCGGATTTGATCGCACTGGGCTGGGTCTTTGTCTTTTGGTATAAAATCGAACAAAACACGATTTTGCTTTCCTCGGACTCTGACAAAACTAAGCGAGATGCGGTCTCCGGGGGCAGAGCCAGACAGCCGGGTCTGTAGTTAGGAAGTCATTGGCACGCTCAGCGCCCTCTCCGGGGACTCCAAAAGGTCACAGAGAGGTCAACGAGGCGAGTGTGTATCGTCAAAAGCGCCAGCTGAGCACATTCCATGATTGCACTGCGCTCTCTGAGTCTCCGGAGGACGACGGAGCATCCTAGGGTCGGAGTGTGCTGACGGAGCAGCGGGTGTTTTCTGTGGCCGGGGACTGCTGTCATTAGACGTGAGAGGGATGCCATCGTCGGCCAACCTTACGGGGGTCGCTGAGCCGTGATCTACTCAACCGATAGTCCCGTGGCCTAGACTGACAATTGGAGTCGTTACATAAAAAAGGCAGCATTACTTTCGAGACGAATGCTGATGCTTAGTGGCTCAGGCGACGGAGCCAGTGCCGATGGAATGAGGCTTCCTAGCCCGAAGGTGGGAGTAAAAGGAACTTCGGCTAGGTGAACTACATGGATCGAATGGAGGATTCATTGAGGATCCCGACAGCATGGTCTGAACAAATCGTCGTTCTAAATCATTTAATTATTTAACCTTTATGTGATTTGTTGATCGGATTGTTGGTTTAACGTCATCCAGTGCCTAAGATAGGTATCTATTATCTCACACAGCTTCTGACTTGAACATTAATCTAAGCGCTCTTAATTATTGGATAAGTTTATTGTTTATTGTTTATTGAACACTTAAGAACCCATCCATACAACATGGCTATTCCTGAGTTCGTGTCATAGGAGGTGAAAAAGTAAATACAAGGGGATGGTGACGCAATCAAGCACACATAAAAAAATACATAGCCCACAAGCACGCATACTTTCTAAAATTGGCCCAGACGCCGTTTCACATTCCTTTTAAAAGCGCCCGGTGGTTGCTCCCTGACAGCGAGAGGCAGGGCATTGAAAGCCGACACAGCACGGTACAAAAATCTCCTTCGGCCGGACTCGGATCTTATCCGTGGAAGAGCGAGGTCTGCGTCCTGCCGTGTGTTGCGCTCTCTCCCCTCTCCTACTGTGGAGAGCTGCTCGGCGATATCCTGAGGAGCGCCGGTCACCAACATGCGCTTGAGTAGGCACAGAGTGTGGTAAGTTGTTGAAGACAACTTACCACACTTGACAGAGTGGAAGCCTAAGTTGTATGTATGTATTATCAGCCACGCAAAGGCATTAGGTACCTTGCAATGCACCTTGATATAGAGATTAAATACACCTGGAATCCATATCGAGCGACCGGAAGAGTTACGCAAGTTAAAGGGACTATCCCACCTTTAACATGGGGCTTGAGTTGAGATAGCCAAGTTTGCGGCGAGGTTCAGAAACCACTATCTATCTAGGTTGCAACCCCCGCGGCCTCTTGGTGTTGAAGAAATTCGTTCCCTTCATTTGAAAATAGGCCTTGTACAAGGCCCTATCTTCAACATGGAGCGACCGTTAGTGTGACGTCACCTCGTTTAGTCATTCTGATTTAAATGGGTTTGTTCGTTGAAAAATCGCTTAAAACTTGGTCTGATTTTCGTTGTGGTGCCTACAGAGTAAAAAGAATCAGCTTTATGACAGTAATGTGGCCTGGGGAAGGAGGTAATTTTGGGCTGTGACGTCACATATTTGAAAGTTTGTGTTTGGAATATGGGAAGCCTAAGATGTTTAATGAAAAATAAATGCCAGAACCGTGTTCCTGGTCATCCAATCTATAAAGTCGGGCACAATTTAACTGGTTTTAACAACATTTTAGAAGGTGGGATAGTCCCTTTAAACGAGTACACGACTTATGCATGCAGTTCAAGAAACAGCTCCAAACTTGCATCCTCCAAGAAGTTGGTTCGAAAGTGGCTGAAAGCGATATACCTTCTTCACTCTTCCATCGGCTTCAACTACCGTTAGTTTAAGCACTACATGACGCGAAGTGAAACAGGCTGTCTGACGTGATTGAAGGTTCAGTACAATGCAAACGGGCAAACTGCAGCCTTAGTCGACCATTACAGGAAAGTAGAAATGCTATAACACATGATGGACGGACTTTGTGGCGCATGCAGGCCGCTGTTTGTCGTTTTTTTCGACGATATCACCTTCTGATGAAGTTGACAAGTGGCGCTCGAAACATAGGCGGCGGAACGGGGAGGGCACCGGGGCACCGTGTCCCCCTTTGATTTTGGCTTTTTAGCATTAGCCTTATGGGCGTTGCAAGGAAAGAATGGAACCAAAAGTCGGCAGTGACCCCCCCCCCCCCCTTAATTGAAGATGTTCCGCCGCTTCTGGCTCAAAACAGAAGGGATTCCTAAATCCTTATCATTAAATTCATGATTTCCTTTGTCACTTGAACATGTCTAGCGTCCACCGTATGGGAATGACGTATACCATCTGCTTCTATCTCTAAAACTAGGATACCGGCCTTCAAAATCTTGTATACCTAGTTTGTTCTCCACAACAACGTAGAATCTAGGAGTAGATGATACGCATTTGAAGATTTGATACTGAAATCGGACGCTATGACAAGGGACAATGCCGACTCGTTTGGCGCGGATGATGGCTTCTGCGACCGGTTTTTCGCTGGATGACATCTTAGGAATCCTTAGCGGTAAGGGCCTGCAATTGACCGGCCTATGTCCAATCACAGATGATGAAACGTCTGCTCGAGCCGCGGCTGAGCGCCAAATAAACTCGTAGCTGCCCGCTGCTGGCTGGATCATTCAGTCAATGCTGAGGTGTGCCAGTGTGCCACTCATAGCTGAAAACAGATGGGATAGGTGCATTATGATAGTGCTAACGCAGTAACTGTGGCCCGTTTGCGCTTGGAAATGGGACTTTGCTTCCCAGATATGCCGTTTGAATAGTAGGAGTTTTGCTTAATTCGAAAGGAAAATAATTCATTAGTGTGGCCGACAACGATGAGTAGCATGCGACCGATCGGCGATCTAGCGGCGTCATTGATCTGAACTTCTCCATTGAGGTTACCAAGCTTGACTATTCCAGTAACGTCATTCACCTCACTGGCTCATATGCGGTCCAGTGACGTACTTTTCTTGGACTGATCAATATACGTAGCTTGGCTTCAATGGCCCAATGACATCACCAATTAGCGCTGATTTACCTCAATGACATCATTGGTTTCTGGCCAGTGACGTCACCAATGTGTGTCTGTGTGTCCCGTGCAGGTCGACTGATGGCCAAACAGCGCGTGGCGCTCGAGTGTCTGTCTTACCACGCCACAGCCAGCGCCGAGAGCACAGCAGAGCTGGTCAGTCGACACGTGCCCTCCGCGCTGCAGCTCAACCTGTACAGGTCAGTGAACACACGACCTGGGCGCTGCAGCTCAACCTGTACAGGTCAGTCGGACACGTGACCTGGGCGCTACAGCTAAACTTCACAGGTCAGTCGGACACGTGCCCTCCGCTCTGCAGCTCGACCTCTACAGGTTAGTGGACAAGTGACCTGGGCCCTGCAGCTCAACGTGTACAGGTCAGTCGGACACGTGACCTGGGCCCTGCAACTCGACCTGTACAGTACAGGTCAGTCGACACGTGCCCTCCGCTCTGCAGCTCAACCTGTACAGGTCAGTGAACACATGACCTGGGCCCTGCAGCTTAACCTGTATAGGTCACTGAACACGTGACCTGGGCACTGCTGCTCAGCCTGTACAGGTCAGTGGACACGTGACCTGGGCCTTGCAACTCAACCTGAACAGGTCAGTGGACACACGACCTGGGCTGTGCAACTTGACCTGTACAGGTCAGTCGACACGTGACACAGGTATCATTTCAGCTCGACCTGTTCATAGACTAATGAGTCGTTGTAGCGTGTCGTGCCTGGCAGCTTGCTGTTACTCACTCAGTACCTGCTGATTCACTGGTTCCAAAATATCGCCACTTGTTGTTTCAAATCAATTGCCTGGAAGTTTGTTAGTAACTATTCTATTTGTACACCCTATTTATAATTTTGTTGTTTTTGTAGTGCTGTTGTTGACCGCGTCTGGCGCGTTTCAGTCATCAGTTTGATGACATGGAGTTGGACAACAAGGACACGTGCACGGCAGCCATCAGGATGTTCAAGGACATGAACATGATCAAAAAGTTCAGAATTCCTTACGAAGTGAGTGATGTATAAGTTATCTCGGGATATGGGACTGTGGGAACTGGGAAGGATAAAAAACTAGGCATGGTAATCCAATGTCAATTGTTACCCGCAGACACGTTTAATTTTTACTTCCTTACAAGGGCTTTTTGACACACAAATCTTTTTCATCCTCGAGTTTGGAACACCTTCAAGTGTCTCTGGCATCAGTAGTCACACACCGTCGATTTTCACGAATGTTTTCTGTTTCCGCCCAGGTGCTTTGTCGCTGGATTCTCAGCGTACAGAAAAATTACCGTCCAGTCAAGTACCACAACTGGAGACACGCTCTGAACGTTACACAGACCATGTTTGCACTGCTGAGAACGGGAAAAATGGCCGGCTTCATATCAGATCAAGAGGTAAGAAACTGAAACTGAAAAAGAAACTGTTCTACAAGTTAACGACACTTAAATGGCCTCTGTAGCTTACATGTTTGCCCAAGAACATACATATTCATTTAGGTCAGAAACCCACAAGTTTGTACTTTTGAAAAAAATATTTAAAGTAGCTAACTAGTACAATTCGTGATGCTTGTAAGGAACAGCGCTGATACATCCCTCAGCATATACGTAGACATTAGACATTTATGTCGAGCCGACGCAAGTCGCCTCCACCAGATTAGAGTTTTGGACCGACGCGCATAACTAATTAAGCATTTGATGGTAGATCTTCATGTGCGTGAGGGGTGGCTAATTTGTCTGATATCTAATCCATCGCGTGTCTACCCGGTATTAACTTCACTCACGATATAGCGCTTTATTCTTCCGCTCTGCATACACCTGGATTGACCATATAAGTATTATGTTTCACGACCAGAGCAAACAAAATTGGAGCGATCATGCGATTCGTTCAAGGAAATTACCATAACTTCCAATCATTGAGTGGAATCTCCTTTCGACTATTCAAGCAAGTAACTTTTTAGAATTTCGATGGTCGGTTATCATCAATCATGTTTAAATATTGCATATGCATTGGCTTACATGCGTATTGACATGCCTACTCGTTTGTCATTCACCGCTCACGCTACGTTTTTTTTGCCTCTGACTTTGATTTAAATGCATCACTGACAATGAACAGAAACCGGTGTCACGGCCTCCAGGACACACAGGTGACGTTATGAGACGTTCATGCGGAGAGAGACATGACACCAGCTCTCCGAGCATTTTATCAAGACTTCGCTGATTTGTGCCGTTAATATGGGAATATCCCTGTAGAAAAAAGTGGATAAAATTGTTCTTCAACGACATCGAGCACCCATTTCACCATCAGCGCTCGAGTTATCGTCAACCGGTCGCCGGGACTGAGCCGAAGCTGCATATTCCACTCGACCGTGCCAATCAAGTGGAGATTACTCGGGGTACCCTGGGATATTGCAGATCGAGCCCCTGAACCGGCAGTGGATCGGGAACGGGGAAGTCCCACACTGTACCACTGATTGACTCGGCTCTGTTATAAGCACATATGCTGATTCGAAATTTGTGGAGATCGGTCGCCGAGATGAAATGCGGTATTTTATCCATAACGGCCGGTAGGTAGGTACTACAGTCCCAGCGCGGGAGGTGTCATGTTGTCATCTAGGCTTATAACGTGCCTTTGTTTCTTTGCTAGCTGAGTACAGTAAGCTGGAGGCCACGTGATGAGTGCAACTTTATGCAACATGTTCGGATGAGTGTAATGTTGTAAGCATAGTCGTTAGTCTTGAAGCCCAATCATGCACCCTGAAAACTATAAATGCAGCAATGCAGCCCATTTTCCCGGCCCTGCATCTACACAGCCCTGCAGCCCAAAGACTCGGCCCATACATTTCATCCAATTTCGTCAGAAGCTGCGAACACTTGTTGCATTCTATACATCTGTAAGCACATCAGACGACTACGGTGTTGACATCCATTTCACATTGCATTGCATTCTCACACCCCACCAAAGATCAGACGACCGTCGATCCATTAGAACTTCAACAGCACGTGTCCAAGTCGACACCAGAATGGCACTGTCAGCGAGAAGCTACCCCGTTGACTGGGTGATCAAAGGGGAAAAGTACAGACCCGGGGATAGCTCGAACAACGCGGCTGGTGCAACTCAGCTGCGTGCGAGCGCTACGCTGCGCTGTGCTGCGAGCGGGGGCTTTAATTAGGCGGGTCTGCGCCCCACCGCGCTGATCGATTGGCTCGTCTGTGTTGTCTCAGCGCTGACCTCCAATCGGCAGTCCACTGGCACCGCCAGATTGACCTTCCACAGACACACACACAAACACACACACAGCCGTGTGCAAACACAAACAGCGCCACAGACACCGCCGGTCAGCCCCCTGCGGCAAACAGACAGACAGACAGACAGACAGACAGACAGACAGACAGACAGACAGACAGACAGACAGACAGACAGACAGACAGACAGACAGACAGACAGACAGACAGACAGACAGACAGACAGACAGACAGACAGACAGACAGACAGACAGACAGACAGACAGACAGACAGACGGCCGGCCGGCCGGCCGGCCGGACGGACGGACGGACGGACGGACGGACGGACGGACGGACGGACGGACGGACGGATGGACGGACAGACGGACGGACTAATGGACGGGCCTGGACCAACAATACCAGTCACTTATTAAGGTGGGCGATTGACAACTTTTCAGCATTGTACTTACCTTAGCGAGGCAATGTAGAATTGGCATTATGGTTCGTCTGTGCTGCAGTTCGTCAGACTTGCATACTTGCATAATTCGTCAGACTTCAAACAGGCTTCGTCAGTTCCTTAGACTTGGATTGCGAACCGAAAATGCCCGTCAATAATTGCCAAGACTTCACGCAATTACTCAATTATCAGCCTCTCTCTATCTCTTAGCGTGATACATAATCATTCCAGAACCTTGTTTCCTGGCGGTTGCGATCTGGAGGACTAGAGATGTCAATCGGATACCAACTTTTTGGTAACTATACCGATACCAAACCGATACCAACTTGGTATTTGGTATTTCAATCCTAATGTGTTCGGTATTTTGTTGGCATTATGAAACCTTACTTGTGTACAAGAGGCTAAGAAATTGGTAAAAAGTTGGTATTTCCCTCATCTTTCCAAGTTGGTTCGGTTTCGGTATTTCCCCACGGTTTTGGTTGGTATTTGGTTTGGTATCGGTATTCCGATTTTCTGTAATTGACATCACTAGTCTAGACTCCGACCAATGTCTATAGTTCCGGGTTTCGACACCCGCTGGCCGGACCCATTTTCGCAGCGAGCGGTCGTCGGGACGAGCCGTATGTCGTAATATGATCACGGGCTGTGCGGCACCTCCCCAATGGGATATGGGACGCTCCGGAACACAATCCAATCCGAGACACGGCGCGTTCTGGAGAGGCGCCCGCACAGAAAGTCTGAAATATTTTATACGGCAGTCTCGCAATGCTTACAACCAATGCCCTCCCATGCTAACGCATCTCGCTTACTGGGAGCGCCAACCTGCCGTGTCTTCCTCGGGTAATTGCAGTTCAGTGCCCAGCACAGTGCTGTGTTGGTCACGGGTGACACAGAGTGACACACCTGAGTACACGGGTGACACAGTGTGACACAGCTCAGTACACGGGTGACACATGGTGACACAGCTCAGTAAACGGGTGACACAGCTGAGTACACGGGTGACACAGTGTGACAGAGCTCAGTACACGGATGACGCAGGGTGACACAGCTCAGTATACTGGTGACACACGAACGACACAGCTGAGATTAGAACACGGGTGACACAAGATGACACAGTTCAGATGGCGCAGCTGATTATATGCCCCGGTCCACGGTTGACGCACCTCCGGCCACGTGACGGCAGCTCAATAACTAAAGCGACACGGTCTGCGGTCAGGTGCTGGGTCTGATGGTGGCCTGTCTGTCGCACGATCTAGACCACCGCGGCACCAACAACGCCTTCCAGTCCAAGACGGACAGCCCGCTGGCCATGCTCTACTCGACCAGCACCATGGAGCACCACCACTTTGACCAGTGCGTCATGATTCTCAACAGCGAGGGCAACAACATCTTCCAGGTGGGTTGCTTTGATAGCTTAATGAACTCTTGGGAAAATGAAAGCATCGGAGTTTTGAACCCAAATTTCAAACAATGGTAGCCGCTGAAAGGTACTCGTATGTGAACGCTGTACATTAGCCCTCGCCCGCACATGGGGGGGGGGGGTGGTTGCCACCCCCCCCAGGCAGTCTTTCTGCTCTGCACTCAACATTTTTAGAGCTAGAAGGCTGATTTTTCGTATAGCTGCTCGTCTATCCTTTCTTGATGTCCACTGAAAATTTCAAGTTTCTGTGATTTTTGGTTTCGGAGATATGACCTTGTTTTTCAGGTCATGTCATGACCCAAATGGCCAATTCTCAACATCTTGCGTTTGCCATGGGCCTTGTGAGCTTTTGACACCCTGATTTCGGCCTTTTTTGCCAGTCTTACCTCCCACCAATCATGGAACATGTTGTTCGACGAGGTACAGGGGTCAAGGTCAGGGTCAAGGTCAACCTAGGTCATCTAAGATAATTGCGTTTTAGGCAAGCTGAATTTACTTTTTGTGAAGTTTTTTGACTGCTTTTTTGGTAAAGGCTTCTCAGATCATGATTTCATGTGATATGGACCCAAAAACAATCGGTGCACACATCAGTATACACACAGACACACACAGACATACAAACACATATAATTGACCTTGACCTAACTTGACCTGAAATGACCTCAGCAGCAAAATTCTGGTCGGATAGTGTGACAAAGAGGTTCTAGCTGGCTTGGCACCAGAAAACAGCATCGTCATCGGTATTTGATAAGCAGCGCACTTGATATCCAACGGTGACCCAAAACAGCAACATTTTTTAGTTTGACCTGACCTGGAAGGTCAATGACTGACCTGAGAAGGTAAAACTGGGTATCATTAGATTCGTCTCTTCCCAAAGAATCTTTTTGGTCTTTACTGCTAAGCTCTATCTCCAACAGGAACGAAATGGCGCGGGGGGGGTGGCAACCACCCCCCCCCCCCCATGTGCGTTCTAGGATGGGAAAATGGCATGTGCGGGCGAGGGTTAGACCACGCTGTTACAGACCGCTGTGTGCGTGTCTCTGCATATTTTTAGGTGCTGAAGCCCGAGGATTACCGACAAGTGATGGACACGGTGCAGCAAGCCATCCTGTCCACGGACTTAGAGCAATACTTCAAAACAAAGCCCCAGTTTCTGCAGGTCATCAGAAACGGACAACCCGACTGGCACGACTCGCACAACAAGAAGCGTGAGTACATCATCGTTTTAATCTGAGTTTATATCCCTTTCGCGCAATATCAATAGCCGTCCGATTTTATTCAATCTGAGGTGATAATTCGGTCATTCATTTGGCCCGGGAGACAGTACCTATATGAAATAAGAAAGAGAGAGAGTGAGAGACAGAGAGAGAGAGAGAGAGAGAGAGAGAGAGAGAGAGAGAGAGGGAGAGAGAGAGAGAGAGAGAGAGAGAGAGAGAGAGAGAGAGAGAGAGAGAGAGAGAGAGAGAGAGAGAGAGAGAGAGAGAGAGAGAGAGAGAGAGAGAGAGAGTCGCCAGAAGATCTATGTATATGAGATTGAGCTCACCCTTTTCTTCATTCAGCTAAGTTGCGACTGACTTTAACCATGCCATTTCAACTTGGCAGGGCTATATTCCTGACTGAATGTGCTCATCACGAATAATAAAGTTCAGTATTCAAAGAGTTAATGAAAAAGTTTTTAACAATCCCGATGCTCATCAGGTCACTGCATAATTAACTCATGATAGACGTGTGTGTAGGTATGCACAACACATTTCAGCTATCGTCGACAGCTAACAGCAACTCAGATGATTCGAACACCTATAAATCATGGCTAAAAAGCAGGGCCCCATTCACTATTGTGTACGTGGGAACGTACTCAATAAACAGAACAAGCGAACTAAACAAGCGACCAAATAGTGATCCTTGATTAAAACAGTTTTACCAATTGCAATTCTTACTCATACAAAATTAGCCGTATAAGAATTAATCCAGAATTGGAGGATCAAAAGCATGCGATAGCATGCTTTTGCATCCGGAAATTCCCATTGGTGGGTCGCTGAAAAAAAGTTCGGCTGAACCTGTTTGTCAGTGAGTGAGTTTGTCCAAGCTTTTTTGGACCTGGAGTCAAAATGGGTGGACCGATCGGGACGAAAGTGGGACCGTTTGATTCGTCTCCGGCGAGGTAAACTTTTGGTGCTGGCCTCGGTTCGCTCGGTGCTTCGTGGCACATGCTATTCCGCTTCAAAGTTTCGGTGACACGAAATTTTTTGTCAAGGCTACAGGTCAACCCGAGGTCACGGGCAAAGCCATACTGGCGGGACACATCGGTAACACCTTCAACCAGTTTCCAGGGGGGTCACCGTCTGCGAGGGGTGCAGGCTGCACGTGCTGATGGCGGGAAACCGTTTTGACGTGAGGTCCTCTGGCTCAAAGAAATTTTAAGCTATCAACCTCAAAATCGGTTCAATGGTAGTCCCAGGCAAGGCCTCCAAAATAATGCACATTTGGTTGAGCTAAACTCTGTGGTGCATGAGCTATGCACGTGCAAGCCGATTGCACCCCTTCGTACGTTGCCACGCCTGCAGGGTAAACGGCAGCTCTAACTGGTTCAAAACTTGCAGGTCATAAGAAGAATACATTTGATCACGACATTCCGGCGAGATAATATCCGAGGGGTGCAAGCTGCGCGTGCGGGGGGCGGATAACGGTTTTGACGAGGGATCCTCTGATCCCGGGAAACGTCGATCTAGCGACACAAAAGTCGGTACACTGATAGAACTAGACACACGCTACATGATGTCATGAAATTGACTGCACTGGGGTGCCTGGGGCATGAACTATGCACGTGCAGTTAATTCATATCTTACTGTAGGTAGATATCCACACCAATCTCGTGTGCTTTCAAGCATTTTTGGGATGTTTCGGTTGGTTTCAGGTTCAGTCCAAGCTCAGTCTGGGTTTCGGTGGTTTTGCCCGGTGTGTGCCCTCAGTACCGTTCCTCCAATTCTGGCCCAAGGCAACGCAAGAGCGCTGCCGGCATCTAGTATATTCCTGCCCGGGGCCGGGATGATTCAATAAATGTCACCGAGGTTTTTTTAGCGAAAACTCCGAGGGCCGTTAGGCCCGAGGTGATTTTGCTAAAAAAAAGCGAGGTGACATTTATTGAATTCCCGGCCTTAGGGCTGGAAGGTGTTTCCCATACCTGCCAAAAAGCTCACAACTATATGATAGTGACGTCAGCAGTCGTGTGGTTCAACGTGTTTAACCACACCCCTTGAACCACACGGCTTGTAATATTAAAGGGAGATAATGAGCTTTCTTTTTTCTTAAATAAAAATTACTCGACATCTATACTATTTCTACTGTAGTTTCTATAAAATATGAAAACTTCCTAGCACGTTTTCGTATGTGAAAAAGGTTTTTATTTTTGCAAAAAAGAAGTAGTACTTGCAGTACTTGTAACACCCACCGAAATGCGTTGTCCTTCTCTATAAAAAAGTCGCAGTATATGGCGCTTTTGTTTCAAACAGCGACGCTTGGGTTTTTGTTTATGTTATCGCCTTGTCGTTGCTTGGTTGTAAGGATTCTTATTTGAATTAGAGTTAATTCGGTTTAGAATTAATTATATTCTAATTCGGGGGTACATAGTGCCTACTCTTCTTTGTTTCCAAGTATTATTTTGCGCCACAAATGAACGGCATGCGCCAGAAACGCAGCCAAATCTTGCGATTGCGACTACGAAATTCATTATTTTGGCGTCAGAGCCTGAAGCGAAAAATACAAGCATATTTATTTCAAAAAGACTTCAGGTTTGTCGAACGGTGTAATGAGAATTTTGATAACAGTACTGCATAAGTTTTTCAGTGATGCCGCAAAAGTGTTGTATCTATCTTCTTTTATTGTGCAGTCGGCGGGACCGATTCAAAATTGAGTCGTTGCTACTAAAATAGCAGCATATGGCGTCAGATGATGAACAGGAAAAATAGTTGCGTAAATTTAGACATAAACCACCCCCAAACCATGAATATCTTTTGAAGGCACTATAGACGACCATTAACTAACTAGATGTGATGAAGATCAAATGTAAGGAATACGCTCATTTTACAAAATTACATGCAAGTACCAAAAAGTGATGTAAGTACTTATTCAACGGCCATTTTCAGCGCTCCCCGCTAACGTGACTTCAAGTTGAGATATTTGCGGCAAGGTACCGAATTGAGCAAAATGGTTTTAATTTACATTATAACTTGTTGTGTTTTGTCAGAAAATGGTCCTAACTCAGATTTTGTGGAAAAAGGTCATTATCTCCCTTTAAAGCTAAAAACACTGTCCTATTAGGAGATTTCAATCTCCCAAAGTTGTCAAAAGAAGAAACAAGCAACAACTGGGAAACTACTCTATTCATGGAAAATTTTGAAGAATGGTTCCTGACACAACATGTATTTCAGGCGACCAGAAAAGATGAACTACTTGACTTGGTTCTAACTAACAATGAAAATTTAATTACAGATGTCATGGTGGGAGAATCCATTGGAAATAGTGATCATGCTATCATAAGATTCAGCATAAATTGTCGCTTGAAGAAGAAAGGTGTAAGAATATATATTACTCCAAATTTTGCCAAGGGAGATTATGATGCAATCAGATCGTTCTTGACTTGTATGAAATGGAGCGCAATGTTTGAAGGTAAAAATGTTGACGAAATGTGGGTTGTTTTCAAAAATGTACTTACTGAGGCCCAGAAACGATTTAATCCCATGAGGAGGAGGCGGAGAGGTAAGATACCGAAACCACCTTGGTTTAATTGGTCGGTACAAAAATGTTTCAATGAGAAGAAAAAAACATATTGTGAATTTAAATCAAATTCATCTGCTGAAAAAAAAATTGAGGTATTTGAAAGCCAGAAGAACATTAAAAAGCATGATTCGTAAAGCAAAGCGTGCAACAGAGATACGATTTGCTAATGAATGCGGTGGAAACCTAAAAAGATTTTTCAGTTTTTATAAGTTCAACAAACATGATGCACGAATTGGTCCGATTAGAAAGGATGGAATAATTTATCACGAAGACGCTGATAAGGCTCAGATTCTCAATGATCAATTTTCCAAAGTATATACTGATGAGTGTCTTACAAACATTCCCACCAATAAAAACGATGCATGCTCACAGAAGCTTACGAGCATCCCTCTTAATCATGAGGACATTCTGAAATGTTTACAGAACCTCAAAATAAATAAGACAGGTGGTCCAGATGGTATATATGCTAGAATTTTGAAGGAAGCAGCGAAAGAGCTGTCCATGCCACTTTATATTATTTTTAAAAACTCTTTAGATACTGGTCAAATTCCTGATGATTGGAAACATGCTAACGTAGTGCCAATATTAAAAGGCGGAGACAAAACAGTGGTAGGAAATTACAGGCCAGTCAGTCTCACTTCTCTTGTATGTAAAATAATCGAAAAGATAATAAAAAACACATACTGGCACATTTGGAGCGAGAAGCTCTTCTGTTGCCATCTCAACACGGGTTTAGAAGTGGTCGTTCATGTTTGACAAATTTATTAGACTTCCTTGAGCATGTAACAGACCTTGTATAGATAGAGGTAAAAATGTATCAGTAGTCTATTTAGATTTTTGTAAGGCTTTTGATAAAGTTCCCCATAGAAGATTACTAACATCATTAGAAATTCATGGACTTAGCGGGGCTTTACTCAACTGGATTGAGAGCTGGTTATTAGCACGTAAACAGAGAGTAATACTTAACGGACATGAAGCGGATTGGAAGGATGTTAGAAGTGGTGTACCTCAGGGTACGGTCCTATCCTAGCCCCTTTATTGTTTATCATTTTTGTAAATTTGATAGACTCGAAGCTAACGAGCAAACTTTGGAAGTTTGCCGATGACATTAAATTAGCAAGGGAAATTACTTCCGAAAACGACAAGAAAGCACTACAATTAGATTTGAATACATGATTGGACTCGAGAATGGCAGATGGAATTTAATATAGAAAAATGTAAAGTCCTCCACTTGGGGGGATATGGTGATGATCTATATAACATAAATGGTGAGACACTTCGAAATGTTCATGAAGAAAAAGATTTGGGGGTTTTGATCACAGATGATTTGAAATTTAGCCGCCATTGTCAGGAGGCACGGAAAAAGGCCCTTAAGATGTTGGGAATTATAAACAGAAATGTCACTTATAAAAGTAAGGAGGTCATGAAGAGACTTTACTGTGCCTATGTTAGGCCACCTTTAGAATATTGTGCACAAGCTTGCCATTCTTCTTTTAGAAAAGATGTAACATTATTAGAACGGGTTCAGAGAAAGGCAACTACACTGGCGGTCCCAGGGGGGGGGGGCACGGGGGCCATGGCCCCCCTTTGGTGCTGAAAGGTGGGGCCATACTATCTTTTGGCCCCACCTTTTCAGATCGAACAAAAGTCCTACAAAAGTTTTTTTTGTGTGTTTCATTTCCTCGTTTAATGAAAGGTCTTTCTTTCTCAATCAAAGGAAGTTGGTTTCACTCATGAGTGGGCTCAGTTTCGCATTATGTCAATTTGGCGGTCAGCATCGCTGGCACCGGTTCACGAGTATGGCCGGATGTGAGATATATTCGAACTTATGGAATATCAGCGTGGGTTTACTTGAGGCTCTCGTAGGCCCTGCATTGGCTGGCATGAGAACCTCTTCGGCAGTCGCGAGTGGGCCCTGCCAGATGAGCGTGGCTCTACGACACTATGGTACGACCGCATGGATAGGTGCTGTGCTGTGCGACTCAGAAGCTCGGTGGTGACCCCGTATGCCGGCTTGGTTCCTCAAGGATTAGCGTGGGACCTGCGTAAAGCTTGCATGAACAAGTATATGATCTCAGATGCCTGTGTAATGTGTACACAGTGGCGGTCGCGGGGGGGGGGGGGGGGGCATCAGGGTCATGATCCCCCAAAGGCAAATAAGAGGGCCATCGTATCATTTCGCCCCCTAAACAACCGATGGAACCCCATGGTCGTATGGGGCCCCGACCCTTATTCGATTGTTACGAGGCTCAAGAAAACCACGCCCAGCTATTTATAGCTCCCACACCCGTATATGAGCGTCCTACATTGACCTCTGACGGCCCTTCAGTGGCGGCCAAGCGCCCACATTGACCGCTAAAGAGCCCACATCGACCTCTGATGACCCTCCACTGGTCTTTGGGTGCCCCTAAACAGGACCCAGGGGCCCGACCGGCGTCTGAGGGCCTCACACCGGTTTCTGGTGGCCTAATTTCTGTCTCTGGGGTCCCAAGACTAACCTTTAGGTGCCTATGAGGGCCCCGCACTGGCTGCTGAAGACCCGATGCCGGCCTCTAAGGGCCCATCTTGGCCTTTAAGGGCCCTCTGCTGGCCTCTGGGGTTCAAAATCGACGCCGGCCCATGCCGGTCTTTTAGGGCCCACGCTGACTTCTGAGGGCCCCATGCTGGCCTGTAAGGGCCCTCATTAGCCTCTGAGGGCCCCACTCGGTCTCTGATGGTCTCAAACTTTAGCCTTTGCAGGTCCTGTACTGGTCTCCGAGGGCCCTAAACTGGCCTTTAAGTGAAAACATACAGGGGTGGCCTTCTGAAGTTCTGAGGACTCACGCGCAGACTCCTGCAGAGCTTAACGTTGGTCCCGATGGTCCCGCGAAGATTCCCTCATATTTCGGTGCCGGGGCCCCATGAGCCGGTGTGGGTCCTGGGGCTGACAGAGACCGATGAAGTCCCCGACTCCCCAGGGATCAGGGGCAGTCTTTTTAGCAGTAGGACTAGGCAGGCTGAGTGAGCCCCAATAGAGCCGTTGCGAAGCCCCGCAGGAGTCTGCACGCGGCCCTCAGATGCCAATTTTGAAATTCAGGAACCTGTGGAGGGTCTTAAGAGGTCGGTATGCCTACTCTCTACCTACTCTGCACCACCACACAACTATGTGGGTAAACGTCATAGTCTGAAAATGCTCTCTGGATTTCACATGCTTGTTCCAAGCAAGAGGTATTTGTACTTTTGCGAATTGTTTTATAGTGGTAAGGTCATGAATCCGCATGCCCGACCTTTCAGTATACCTATGCTGCACCGATCCGTCGCTATGGTGCAGCGGCCCGACCGGCGCGGTGAGCACACCGTGGAACGGTAAATGGAACTGAGTTCAAAAATTTTATGCAAGATTGAGATGGATGTAGCATAAGCTATGCGAATTGCGCGGCGCTTCGTGGCGTAGATTTTGCTACACCTAAAAACTTAGCCGATCACCCCCTCCCCCGTGACGGATAAATGTTATGTCCCGCGAGTGTGACTTTGGCCCCCCCCCCCCCTTTTGCTAGCGGCTGCGACCGCCAGTGGGCAACTAGGATGGTGCGGGGCTTAGCTCAAATGAGTTACAAAGATCGACTTGTGTCACTTAACATGTTCTCGCTAAATTACCGGAGAGTAAGAGGAGATTTAATCGAACTGTTCAAGATTTACAAGGGTATTGACAAACTTGACTTTCAGAATATGTTTACAATAAATTCGCATTCTACGAGGGGACATAAATGTAAACTGAAAAAGAAGTATACAAGAACGCGCTTAAGACAGTCTTTTTTCACCAGTAGGGTCGTAGATATTTGGAATGGCTTAGGGGAAGTTGGGGGAACGCCGAAGATTTTTTTTCTGACGCCCGTAGCACGCAAGGTAGACAACATAAGCTATTCTTGTTGGCGTCATTCGAGAGGCCAGTCTTTTGCCTTTCAAACATACCAGGCGCATTTGATGAATTCGCATACCGTTAAGCGCACAAACTAAAAATATCAAAGAAGTGACTTTTTCGGCGTTGCCCCGGACTGCGGGGAAAGCCAAAAATGGGAGAAATGATCTACGGGGAATGCCGACATTGATGTTTTGCCATTTTATCTCAAACTCTATCCAGAATTGATCAAAGCTGACACGCGTTTTAAGAGCTTGAGGACGCGGTGCACACTGGAAGTTATAATTGTGTGATATAATAAGAACATGCCAGGTAAATCATTCCTTATAGGTAACAGACCGTTGTGTCGGTTGAAAGTGTAATTTGTGTGACTAAAAATACGCGTTGCTATTCTACAGCAGTAAAGTCCACGTAGCGTGCTTTTAACACGTGCGTAATCGCACGTTTTCGGCATTAGGTACCCCAGCCTGCCATACTTTCATTTGCAGGCCCATAACTTTTCAACGTGCTGTATAAATTTCAAATAGGCAGCACACTTATGCAAAGACATGCTAAAGATTACTTGACCGAATTGGCCAGACAAACGGTAGCATAATGAGTAAGAAATGCAGCTTCAAAGGCGCATGTAGTACAAGGGAAACGTACCTTGAAAACGCTCTTGCGCCCTCACAGTCGAAGTATTCCGAATGACGACTCGTAACAAACATGCGATAATTGTAGTCACTTAAGCTTCAGAGCATCACTGACAGGTGGCATCCATGTCTTACGGTTTTCGAAATATCTCGAATTTCGGCTTTGCCCCAACTCCGGCATTGCCCCAACTTCCCCTACCATCTTTGGTTATCGATAGTTCCTCCATCCAGCAATTCAAGAATGGAATTGATTTATTCTTTGCAGAAAGTGGTCTAGTTTTTGACACTTGAAATGAAATCTAAAACTTTTTTTTTTCTTTTTTTCTTCCTTTTTATTTGTGTCGGGATATTTATAAAATGTAGTGAAAGGAGATTGTTTATCGATGATCGATGTATGTGAGATATGTCTGATTCATGTGAGTTTATGTGCATTGATTTACATGTGCATGTAACCTTGTTGGGCCCAAGTTGGGCCCATGTGGCCTGTTGTTGCATGGAAATATATGTTATGTTATGTTATGTTATTGCATCAAACTTTGAAAAGTGTGGTACAGTGCACGTGCCGTTTAAATGCCTGGATGTCTCGATTTAATCATGCAATGTAGCAGGTATGGGAAAATCCAAAACCATTTCATGTCGCCATTCGGTGGCAAGTTGTTCCTTCCTGCGAATTCCTCGTCCCGCAGTGTCCCTCTCAATCATCCCGCCGCTCCCCGCTGAGACATGGTCCGTCCCCAACAATACCCACAGCCGTCCGTGATTCCGCGCCCTGGATCGCAAGCCCCGCCGACTGTGATGCTCCGCCGGTAACCATGGCGACGTAATAGGGCGGGAAATCTCATCGTATGTCCGCTGCGTGCCCGTAGGTTATGTCTATTTCTGTCGTTTGGTGGAGCGCGCCGGTCAAAAGACGGCCGTCTGTGACAACAAGCACATGACCTTAGCCGCATTGCCTCGTATCTGGCGGCCGTGGGCAAAACGGCACATCAATAATTTACGTCACATAGCGTCAGATGAAAAGCATCTGCGCATGAGTAACCGACAAAGCTTCTTTGCAGAACCACTAGTGGCCGCCTTTTGCCAAGGCGTAGCAATGACGAACTAATGTAGTTTTAGGAGCGAGGAAGTTAATACTGGGCGCCAGCATGTGGCCATTACCAAACAGATGCTGATCTATGAAAGTACTCAACTCCAATGCGTGGCTGTTTCAGTGCTAATGGTGACTTATGGCGTTAGTGTGTGAATCAGCGTATGACATAACTGGGTGTCCGTTACAGTAGGCTGGTGGGGATGCTGATGGCGGCTGATGACGTCATTGGATGTGTATTGCAGTGCTGATGGGATGCTGCTGACCTATGACGTCAGTGTGTCTCTCACAGCGTTGATGGTATGTGCTGATGACATCTTCAAAATTTTCTCCGAATGGTTGAATATGACGTCATTGGGTGTATATTGCAGTGCTGATGGGTATGCTGATGACGGCCTGTGACGTCAGCGCCATCTCCAAGCCGTGGGAGATCCAGCACCGCGTGGCCAAACAGGTGGCGGATGAGTTCTTCTACCAGGGAGACCTGGAGAGGACCAAGCTGAACGCCCAGCCCAGCGTAGGTGCCACTGACAGCGCCGCACGCGGCGGCACATGCACAAACACACCCACGTGATGAGCCGGGATGCGTTTTATTTACATTGGCTAATGATGCCTCGAGATGTGGGCTGATTGGTTCGAGGAAATCGCTTTATGGAACCGCTGCGCAGAAAGCTTGTTGTTGCTTCGTTGGCGCTGCAGGCATCCCATTTTCCGTTCTCGTCAGAAAAAAAAACACCCGGTCGATAGTCAATACTTTTACCGAAGTTCACCAAAAAGCGACATCGGTAGCTGAGTGGTTGCTGCGAGGCTCAGGTAGCTGCCACTTCTCAAAAGAGTTGTTCGCTATTTTAGAACGCATGAGGGACAGTCGCCAGTTCATTTTGTTTGGTCTGCGCAGCTCTTGTTTGTCTTATGTCAAATTGAAAGGTCAAGCTGTGTCAAACTTGTCGGAATCCATCAAGTATCTAAAAAATATGCTTTATTTGTAACTTCAAGTAAATCATAGGCAAATGGCATGAATCATTACAAGTATTTTTCAGACCTACGATTTAATCTATTTGTTAAAGCATTTCTGATAAATGGTTCCGGCCTGTCACTCTGTCCCTGATATTTTCTGCTTGAGCATAACAAAGCAATTGCGATGCGTTTTGTGTGATATTAATGCCAAAATATTAGCATTTCCTCAGCTTTAGCAATCAGAAATCCTATCGTACCCGCATGTTCGTATTTCAGAGCAACTCTTTTAAAAACATCTTTTTTTGGCAGTAAGCCAAATAAGGGCGATATTCAGTGTGGGTTCGTAACAAAAATGTGCCTTTTTCTTCTTATTCCTTCAGGGCTAACAGTAACGCTATTGACCTTTACACCAACGCAGTGACCCCCAGGCATACCTTGTTTAATGTTGGAACTTTCATTACAGGCCATGATGGACAGGGAACGACGGGACGAGTTGCCTAAAATGCAAATGGAGTTCATCAACTTGATATGCATTCCACTCTATTTGGTGAGTTACCGACGAGCATTAGGACGCAAATAGAGATACGGCTGTGATCCATATTCCTACAGTGTCCCGTAAATCAGATCCAGTACCGGTCTTACAGTGCTCCTGTTGAGGGACTCTCTTGCATGCTCGCCGCTGCCAGCTGCGTGCCGTATAGGACGGTGTCTGCGGAGGTAGACTGTACCGCACTACTCCGGTGCGCGGCGGGAAGGCTACCACCACAGGCACTATCGGCTGCAGGCGGCCGCTCGCGACACTGCAGGCTTGCCTGGCTTGCGACTTGCAGTTCGTTATGCAGGCTTTAATGTTTTCTTGTAAGTAAAATCACTTACTCTCAACGCCATCACTGGTCATCTCTTCACACAAGTCATTTTTGCACAACGCAAAAGCAAAACAAAGCAATATCCTTTGGAATATATTCGAGCGAAATTGACACATAACTTACTTACATTGACAACTTTCATACTTTTACCCAGGTACCTATATCATATATTTCCGACTTTGTTTTTATTAACCTTTGCCCCAGTGGCGGGGGGGGCATATGCTACCACCCTGTCGCGTTTTTTGCGTGTGAATAAAAAACCGCGGCGCGTAGCGCCGCGCCACTTAGGGTAGCTTTTTGTACATCAATTTTGGACAATGTGTGAAATTTATGACCCCAGGTCATGTCAGGTCAGGTCACCAGGTCAAGTTAACTGACCAAGCCTAAACAAAGTTTGCAATCATGTCCAGCCTGCAGTGTTTGTCAGAGAGGTTTTAAACTTGGTGGATTGCATGATGTTATGGGCGCCTATAATTTGTATATCTCGGATTTTTTTTATCCGTGACCTAAGGTCAGGCCAGTGGCTTGACCTTTCCATTACAAGTCAATGGAGAAAAACGAAAATGCTTCTAGATCCGTGCGTACGCATAGGAACAGTCCAAATATTTCAGAATCATAATGATTTGGACCCCCCGTGATGACCAAGGGGTCTTTTTTGCTGATAGCCTCCAGAAAGGTCATCCGAGATCATTTGAGGCTACAAACAGATTTTTACCAATAACTCGCGATTTGAAAGAGATAGAACGCTGGGGATGGTCTCATTGTGTTTATCTTGTTGAGACGCATCGACTGATATGCAACATGACCTTTTCCGGTCAGGTCATGACCTTGACCTGAGGTCAAATTTTCAACTTGACCTTTCAAGGTCAACTTATAGTTCATTCGACGCGTCTCGGCGAGAGGAACACGATTCTGGCAATAGAAATGTCATGGCTTTTTTAAGTCGAAAGTTATTGTCGAAAAACACTTATCGTAAAAACAGCTATTTTTTAGTTTTTGCCCTCTGGAGGCTAAACCGTTGACCTGAGGTCAATTTTGATTATGACCTTATCAAAAGAAGAGTTCAAAAGCTATCGATTGTTTTCCAATGCGTTTTTTTTTTAGCTACCATAGTTACTGAGATAACGGCATGTTTTCTGAAAAATATAATGACAATTGGCAAATTTTGACCTTTGATGACCTCTGGTGACCCCAATATTGCTCTAAGATGAAAAGTGACTGAAATACTTTCAAACGTACGCATTGAGAGCTATCGACTGCTTTTTACCGCGTCTTTCTAGCCCTCTTAGTTTTTGAGTTAGAGGTGGGTGGTAACATATGCCCCCCCCCCCCCACTAGAGCGAAGCTGGCTGAGACCGCCACTGTAATTCACTACCAAGCTCTCTCTTTATGGCTTGCACCCACATGCGTAACTTTTGGTAGTAAGTGGTTAACATACAAGTTGAAATATTTAATTCATTGGAGCCCTGAAGCATTGCCTAAACATTTAATAGTAACCACGTACATATATTGAAAATTGAGATCAATGAACCCCTCCTGAATGATAATCATTGCCTTTAGCTCCCGATCCATATGTGGACTTAGGCGTAAGGTGTGTATGCCCCTCTCTCCGTATGTTCTCTCCAATGACCGCTCCGTGCGCCGTGCCGACAGGGCCTGTCGGAGGCGTTCCCCTGGATGCGGCCCATGTACGAGGGCTGTCTGCAGAACCTGAAACACTGGCAGGAGCTCTCTGACCAGGTGGACATGGGCCTCACCTGGATCGACCGAGACTCCATCGAGGAGCCCGTCGAAACGTCACGGGACAGTGAGTCCAGGCGCCTCGGTTCATAAAGCGAGTCCGTAACTTACGCCAGTTTTTGGGCTTGTATTGCAAGGGCATGTGAAGCGATAAATTTATTTGCCCTTCTCCTTCTGTTCTTGCTTGCAAGATAAATAAATTCAACGATTCAAGCTATCGTCATCGCTTCACATGCACTTGCAATACAATACCAAAACCGGCGTAAGTTACGGACTCGCTTTATGAAACGAGGCACAGGCGCCGAGACGATCGGTGGTAGATGTCCGAGACTTTCTTATGCCGTGTGGATGAGTGACTAGGCGGAGATGTCTCCAGTTTGTCTGTTTTGAGCAGTTGTTACATATCCAACGGAAAAGGTTAAATGGATGAAGCTGTCGGTAGTGCAAAGTCTTTGTTGACAGCAATATTGTTCGCTGCTTACATGCTCTGGGGCTGATGGAATTCACATGAAAACTGATTGTATTTTGATTGATACCGGACTGTAACTTAGGCGTAATCAATTGAGCAATCAGATATTGCACGGGACTATATCGTAATTTTAATATGAATGATAGGTAAATATAACAACTATTTTGTGAGTTAATTTCATATTACGTCATCGTCGAGCTCCTTTGGTTTTAAAGGTATCATATAGTACAGATCAGACCAATACCTCAATTATTCCTGACAACTGTCTGAGGAAAACATGTATTTCGAAATAATCATATGATGTACTTTTGCTTTTTGCAGTTTCGGTGAATCGAATCACTCTCCACGGCAAGATTACAGACTCACCAGCGAGCAAACCAGAAAGGACATTAAGCGTTAAGGTAGGCACAGATACCGCCACAGCAAGTTGCACCGCAGCATGCCACGATTACGGGGAGAGAGGGAGAGAGAGAGAGAGAGAGAGAGAGAGAGAGAGAGAGAGAGAGAGAGAGAGAGAGAGAGAGAGAGAGAGAGAGAGAGAGAGAGAGAGAGAGAGAGAGAGAGAGAGAGAGGAGAGAGAGAGAGGAGAGAGAGAGAGAGAGAGAGGAGAGAGAGAGAGAGAGAGAGAGAGAGAGAGGAGAGAGAGAGAGAGAGAGAGAGAGAGAGAGAGAGAGAGAGAGAGAGAGAGAGAGAGAGAGAGAGAGAGAGAGAGAATGCATCATGCCATCTAAGATCCCTTTAGTGTGTTGTTGTTGCCCGAGGCGCAGTCGGGTATATAAAATAATGGTGTAGACTTTATAGACGATATAAATATGCCGATATGCGTTATGCCGTTGATAAATCCTTCATTTAGCCCTAAGCACAAAAAAAAAACAAGCAGCGGGATGCTGTCGAGTTATGATAAAATTATAATGATTCGCAATCGTTAGCTCATGCGAATCCTGTACTTATACCAAAGGTCATACTATTAATAAAACCTTAAAACCTTCAATCTATATAAATCACCGCACCACACCGCACAATGCGGAATATTAATACCACTGACGTCATGCAGAAGCTCCTTACACACTTCTCTCAGTGCACGTTTTGCTCCAATGTCACTGGGATGGCGTCACTCGGTGCTCAGTGCCTGTCGGCGGCGGCGCTATTGAGGGAGCGCCCTCCGACTGAAAGCGGCGAGTCGTCGGGAGCCGGGGCGGCTGGCCGACGCTCGAGTGGCCCGCTCTCGGCCGGCGGCAGTCCATCATAGAGCGTGTCGGTCGCGTCGGGGTCACTCGACCCGTAACGGACACGTCGGCCGACGCGCCGGCAGCCAGACATCGACCGGCGCCGGGCTGACCTCAGAGCGGTGCCTAGGTGACCTCAGAGCGGCGTAATGAGCGACCTCAGAGCGGGGTATGAGAGGCTTCAGAACGGCGCCTCGGTGACTTCAGAGCGGCGTATGGGTGACCTCAGAGCGGCGCCTGGGTGACCTCAGAGCGGCGTATGGGTGACCCCAGAGCGGCGCCAATGGGTGACCCCAGAGCGCGGCGTATGAGAGGTGTCAGAGCGGCGCCTGGCTAACCTCAGGGCGGCGCCCGGGTGACCTCAGAGCGGGGTATAGGTGACCTCAGAGCGGCCCCTTGGTGACCTCAGTGCGGCGAACGAGTGCTGTCAGACTTGACTCTGAGCGGCATCGTACCGGCGCCAGAGCGATATCAGAGCTGAGAGCGGTATCAAATTAGCATCAGAGCGATGTATGAGCGGTGTGAGACCCGCCTGCGAGCGGGATCGAACCGGCGTCAGATCGGCATCAAATCGACATCAAATCGGCATCGGAACGATCTAAGACCAGCCGCACAGAGTTATTAACCGGCTCCAGATCGGCATAATGGCGGTCTCTGTGCGTAAAAAGAGCAGCCGTCGATTGAGTCCGAGCGGTCTCTATGGTGGCCTCAGCCTGCGAGCATGAGGTCTGGCCTCAGTCTTCCCACCATGCCTCAAAATGATATAAGAACGGTCTCCGAGCGGCTTCAAAGCGACCGAGCGTTAAGGTCGAGTGGCACCGTCGACTCGCGTTACAAAACCAGCTACTTGTTGAATGAGTGCTATAATTTGATTATGATATCAAAACGCGGTACTCGTCGCTAAATGTAGACGAGACGACATTGCTAAATGGACAGAAAGGCTCGCAATCTAATGTCAGAAGCAGGCAACCTTTTTGTGCACACCGTATGAAGCCATAAGAAGCGGTCGGTGTGGTTCGGACAAACCATTAAATAAGCTGTTACGATTTATCATTACACGGCTATCGCACGCAGCGTTCGAGAAGGTAAAACCCGTAAGACACCCGAACCCGAACCCGAAGGACACCGTAATTAATGCATTTAGTACAGCTGCGACAGCTGAACTGTGTTACCATGTGCCATGTAGCGAAATATACGCACTCGGACAATCGTGTCAGTACGAAATGCTGTACTAAATTTTTGGCTTTTGCCGAACCTCGGGCTGGACGTATTATTTTGCATATCAAAGGAACCAGGGAGACGTGATGTGGCACTTAGAGGCATACACATCTGCAATATTGCACGGTTTTCCTTGCCGTACCGAAAAGTAAAAACTAAAAAACAAGGAAATGATGTTTCAAGAAAGGTTGTTGTACTTTCGAAACCTCGATCGGACATAGAGACGAAAATATAATAACAACTCTTCGAGTGGATTGTTCCTGAGCGTGGCCGTATTAAAACCATCAATAAATTACATATTTTTAGGGTGAATAGGTCAAAACGCCCCCATTAAGCGCGAAACCTTCTGACACTCAACCCAACACAGATTACTCAAACCTTTGGGCACCATCATGTAGCTCATTCTTTTTACTACGCTTTGAGACCAAGAAAAGACACCTGCGTGTGGTATTTAACCCCCAAAAAGGTTTTCGCATACCCTTACAAAAGGGCGTTTTGCCCCACACCCTGGGTAATACGCCCACACCCATGTGCAAAGCGCCCCCACCCCATCCATCAACAGAAAATGATGAACATGGCAGAACTTGACGTTATTCTGACGTCATTTGTGGTCAACCTATCATAGCCTTTGGAATAAAATTTTGCTGCAATGTGTAAAATGGATGCCCGGAGGAGTCCTGAAAGTTTGGTGACGATATCTGCAGTCGTTTAGGATATATCAGCAAAAAAGGACAGGGAGAGGCCTTTTCGGCACCCACCTACAGGGCGCTACCCTGCACTCTCACCACCGTGCAAAACGCCCCCCTTTCAGAAAACTGGGGGCGTCTTGCCCCATGCATTGAGTAGGCGTCTTTCCCCATCCACTCCATTTCCGGTCAACAAAATATTGACAAAAAACGCGCCACTAACGCCGCAGCATAATAAATTCAACAGAATGGCAATAAAACGCAGTTTTTAGTGATGTACACAATAGCAAGTTTTGTTATATAAAGAGGGCATCAAAATCTTAGGAATCTTCTGTAAAAACAACAAAAACAACACCCAAAACCAACATCAGCACCTACCCACGCTGCTCCTCAAGACGCAGAACCGGAAATAGAGACCTACGTAAACAAGCAGCTGACTATTCTGAAAGACAGAATAAAACACCTATCCGTCGATAAGAAATACGATTTTTTTTAGGGGAGGCGTTTAAAGGTAGACTGTCACCTTTTTTTCACTTACCGGTTTTCGTAAGAGGTACCCGCCCTCACCACAGATGTCCAGTCCATTTTCCGTTATCCTCACCCTGTAACGCGCAATCGCCTCCCAAAGTTCAATTTGATGCCATCTTTTTCGCCGGTGAAAATGCTCATCACTAGGTTAATATCGAAAGCATGTATGACGCTTTTCATTACATTTTTGCATCATAGAGATTCATTGTTATTTTTCTTGAATGTTGTGACAAATTTCGTAATACCAATATTAATTTCAACGGCAAAGACGTACATTTAGCAAATTAATGTCGAAGGTTTCCTAGTATACTAGCATGAAGGTGGGCCGATCTCTTAGCATTGTGAAGGATTTCAGGGAAAGAAAAAACTTTGTCGATTTTAATTAAGAGCATTTTACATAATTTTTAAGGAAAAAACTCGTCAAAAGGGTTTTATTTATCTTTTCTTATTCAAACATATTCAATTCAAAGGCGATAAATTGTTAATTAGCAAATTTGTGGTAGAAGACAATGCTTTGCATTGTACATTTCAATTGTAACATGCGCGCCGTTTATGGCGACAAAACCCGCTTCCATATCTTATGACCTTGAAATCTAGTGATGTGTCAACATTGTCGCTAGACATTAACAGATTGATAATTTATGATAATCGATATTTTTTTACGCGATTCACGTGATGATAGCTTGCCAGGTGAATTCTAAAATTTCGTTTTATCCAGGGAAAAAATCATGGGCCGATCTGAGAAAACTTTTTGAAGGTGGCAGTCTTCCTTTAACCCAGGGGTGCGTTTTCCCCACAGTTACCCTACGCTTAACGGTTACTAAATGAGTCGTTTTTAGTCGTTTAAAGTGCAATTGATATAAGTCCCGAATATTCGCGAAGCGCGTCGGCTGGGCGATGTTTACTGAAATCGTCTGGGCAGAAAACGCCAGAAGATCGGGCCGAACTTGCCATTTAGCGGGAAATCATGCGATGTCAAAAGAAAAATGTCAAAATCAAAGGGGGCACGGTGCCCCGGTGCCCTCCCCGTTCCGCCACCTATGCCATTTTCCATCAAACCCTCAGTGAATTCAGACGAACAGTGCTGACAAAAAGACTCAGGCTGGGGGGATCCATGTGAAAGGCACCTCGCAGTTGCGATCAAACGTAAGTTGAATCGGAACAGATATTGGAGGGATCCATCACATCGTAGGCTAAGTAGATACGCAAGTTGTATCGCAAATGGTGAAGATACGAACTAACTTTACGAATCTTCTCGGTCGATCGGAAGGCCGATCGTAGCGAAGCTTTACCTCTTTCTCAAGAGGAAAATATAAAGAAATTTTCAAAATTTTCACAAAACCGAAATATATGTTAAACAAATATGGTTGATGAACACGTGTGCAAAATTTGAAGTCGATTTCATCAAAAATGGCTGCGCTAGAGCGTTTTAAATTTACACGTTGAAAACGCTCACTTTCACGTCATTTTTGTAATTGTTTTTTTCAATTTTGAAATTTAAAAAGTGTTTTGGGCAATTTTTCGCGTTAATTGCGAAAATCTAACCAAAACATGTATCGCACCATCAATGATCCGATACGCCATCAGAGGCCGCGCTGCGGACAGGTGGGCGCGGCGATACCTAGGCCGCGTGGGGGTTACACTGGTGTTCGGGAAGGGCTATGTCAGCGCGAGGCAGGCCGCGGGGGAGCCGGTTGCGGCGCCGGTCCGTATTTGTCGGCGCCTAACAGTGCAGCGGTGCGTTTATGGCGGAGGGAGGGGAAGCGGTGTAGTGTCGGCAAGGCCGCACACAGGAGAGGGCACACGGGCCTCCCCCCATTCGAGTTGGGGCTCCTAATCTTTAGACCGCCGAAGGTCATGTAAAATGAACTGAAATAATGATTGAAAAGACCGGGAGGGCCCATCTCGTTCCCCAGCAGGCCCATACGAGTCCATAAATGCCCAGTAGCGCAGCCAGGGGTATTGTGGTGAAATTTCAATGGCCCTCAAAAGACCTCAAAGGGCTCGCAGATGGGATCACCGGGTCCTCAGATGGTCTCGAAGGGCCCTCGGTTAGCGTCAAATGGCCCTCATCTGGTGTCAAAGGGCCCTCAGATAGCCAAATGAAGGGCCACAAGATGGCCTCAAAGGGCCCTCAGATGGGTTCAAAGGGCTCTCAGCCAACGTTAAACCTACCTCAGAAGACCTTAAAGGGCGTCAAAGGGCCCTAAACCTGCGTCAGAGGGCCCTGAGCTCGCGTCAAACGACCCTCCGAAGGCCTTAAAGAGTCCTTAGCTTGTGTCAGAGGGCCCCCAGCTGGTGTCAGTGAGCCCTCCTCAGCTGGCGCCAAAAGTCCATCTGAAGGCCTCAAACGGTCGTCAGCTGGAGTACAACGGTCCTCAGATGCCGTCACACGGCCCTCAAAAGCCTCAAGGAGCCCTTATAAGGTCTCAAAGGGCCCTCATTTGGCCTCAAAAGGCCCTCCGCTAGCGTTAACCGGACTTCAGAAGGCCTTAAAGGGCCCTTATCTGGTGTCAGAGGGCCCCCAGCTAGTGTCAGAGGGCCCTCAGTTGGCGCAAAATGGCCATCAGAAGGCCTCAAACGGTCCGTAACTGGAGTCCAACCGCAACGGTCCTCAGGTGACGTCAAGCGGCCCTCAAAAAGCCTCAAAGGCCGCTTAGAAGGCAGCAAAGGGCCCTCATATGACCCCAAAGGGTCCTCTGCTGGCGTCAAACGGACCTCAGAAGGTCTCAAAGGGCGTCAAAGGGCCCTGAGCTCGTGTCAAATATAAAAGCGCCCTTAGCTGGTGTCAGGAGGCCCCCAGTTAGTGTCAGCGTGCCCTCAGCTGGTGTCAGAGAGCCCTCAGTTGGCATCTATTGGCCATCAGAAGGCCCCAAACGGTCCTCAGATGGCGTCCTCAGCTGACGTTAAGAGGCCCTCAAAAAGGCCTCAAAGACCCCTCGGCTGCTGAAGAGGCCCTTAGCCTCAAAGGAAACTCAAGAGACGTTAAACGGCCCTAAAAAGGTTTGAAAGGGCCCTCTGCTGGTGGCAAAGGGCTCGCATATGACGTCAATAACAGCTTTGTCAAAAAACGGACCTGAGAGACCTTGCCGGTCCCTGGTTATAAGGGACTCCTGTCTCTTGCAGTAACCTGAGTGGCCCACGTTTACTGAGGGGCCCCTGGTTATTAAAGGAGTCCCTGGTTACTGGAAGGACCCCTGGTTATCAGAGGGTTCCCTGGTCACCTGGTGGGTCCCTGATCAATTGAAAGCTCCCGATCATCTGAGCGCCCCCTGATTGCCTTGGTCTTGGCGTTGGCGTACAGTTTAAAGTCGTCGGCACACTGCGGCCTCCTCTTTCTCAACAAGTCCCTCTATTTCTTCTGCAGCGAGGGCGATTTCGTCAAAATACTCCTCCATCGCGAAGCCTCGTGCGCAGACGCAGTCTTCAGGGCGCTCGCTGCGCCAACTCTTGACGCCAACTGACGGGCTCCAAATGGAACAGATGGACTCCGAAACGAACGTGGGAAAGCCGACACATGATCCCTCCAAATTTACAGAGGAGGAGATGTCCCTGACAGCCCATTTGCAATAGGGGTCACTTTTACACTATAGACGTATGGGGAATTCGACCTTATCGACATGGTACTACGAGGTCAGCTGATCTGCTTGGCATTTAAATCGTAGTAAAACTGGCATTTAAACGCTGCGAAACAACTTACGTACAACGTAGCTCCGATTTGCCTCTCTTTCTTTTTCATCCCTCCGATTTTCTTCCGATCAAGAGAAGTTTCGTACCGAGAGAAGTTTCGCAGCCACGTCCGATATAACTTACGATAGCACGGATCCCCCCAGCCGAAGTGTGTTGCCAGATCCATCGGTAGCCGCGATGTGAACCGGGGTATTAACCGTGGATGATGGTGCTTGCAATGGTGCATACAACAAATTTACATATACTGACGGATGGTGTGCCTCCTGCGGCCAGAGGCCGTATACCTACACATAGTCTGATAGTGCTGATCCGACGCAGCTCTAAAAAATGCGAGACAATTCGCCTTCGAGACACTCGCGCGTAACAATTATTCTATTCAGAGTAGATGCCATGATTTCAGAAATGGCCACCCCTTCAAAACATGTGGGCTCATTTGAAAGACAAACAACAATCTGCTCAACATCTGCTCTGAGGACCGACTTGGAGTGCCAGTTGAACTTTGAAGTGAACTTTGAAGTGCCTCGCTGTCGTGCCATTCTGTCTAGACTGCCGAGATGGGTCATTCCGGACAGCTGCCAGGTCGCGGGACTCGACATTCGCTGAAAAAAAACAGACGGATAAAATACGTTGATCCAGACGGTTGAGTTTTGCATTGGATATGCATCCCCATGTAGAGTTCATGGGAACGTTTATGTTACAAGCTGGCGTACCTGCAAATGGCGGTCATAATAAATGAGAAGAATCCCGGGTCTGAGGTGCCGCGAAGCGGATCTGTCGCATCTATAGCCCGTCCAGTGGCTATAAGTGTCCAACATGGCTGGGTCTGAGCGCTCGCCCGAGATCAAGCACAGGATATTGCAACCACATCATGACTTGGCGATTTCAAAGGATTTGTTCGCATCTAAAGAGATGGTCGTTATCTCCCGTATAGCATCGGGATGAAGCGTCGCCCTCCGCGCGGCATTCTGATTGACGCGGCATCCGCCGGGGCCTGGGCCCGGACGCTGCCGATCGTCTCGTGGGCGGTCACTCTGCTCACGAGGACACCGCCTGAATGAATACACCCACATCGCGACGGAGCACTTCATCGGCAGACGGCCCGAACGGTCAATGGCTCGCGGGACGGCGATTAGCGGCAGGCTAGGGGAACTGGGGTGTTTACTATTTGCGTCCGACGAACGGGGATCGTCGGCGATCATTGACAGCGGGGGCGTTGGAGGTCAGGCGGATTTGGTGAGCGGACTGAAACTGAGTAGTCTGGCTATGTGGATCGTGAAAATGTTGAGCGCTCATATCAGAATGTGCCACCTAAATCTCAGAATTGAACCGATATTCAGGCCACATCACCTGTGAAGTGTCAGTGTGCACAATACATGAATGGTTATAATAATGCACGAGTTCAAATAACATTTAGTAACCGAGCGTTTGTACTCCTTAGTAGCCAAAAACACCCTTCTTATCCTGCACGCCCGCCCCGCAGGCCGCACGCATTGGGCCCGTCTCGTCGCCATCACTGGACCGTCAGCTTGATATTTGCTTCACCAGCACTAGTCATTATTTGACCAGCATTGATGATACCTAATGAGATCCATTTGGAAGCGCAATCAGCAGACAGCAAGCTCCGCTTCAGCTTGTGGGTGGATAAACTAAGCCCTCCCCGAAAAGTGGCGAGATTAATTAAATTTCATCTTGTGGCAGCAGCATGACATGAGAAAAGTGCAAATCAACAATCAACTGATGGGTTCTAATACAGGGCCGGACGAAGGCTTCTCAGTACCTACATCCAGCGGCGCACGTCCCAACAAAACCAGCATCGGTCACATGTCACGTCCTACGCCCCCTCCAAGCTCGGCTGACCTCCCTCCCTCCCCCTCGTCGTCAGGTGCAGAAGCCGAGCCGGAGCAGCGGCAACGTGTCTCCGCAGTCTCACAACTCGACCACCATGTCGATGGCGAGCTCTGACCGGCGCAGCTCGGCGCCGAGCGGTCAGCAGCCGGCGGCGCTCGGTCGACACCGGCGCTTCGGGCGCAGCTGCCGCCGCCAGGAGCAGGAAACTCGCCTCTGCGCCATCTCGTGAGCAGACGGGGATCTTCAGCCGTCCGGCCGCCCCACAGTGTGGCCGAACACCAGTTTAGCGCGAATTTAATCCCAGCGCCGCTCGGATCCACTGAAAATGGTTCTCTGGTTCCAAAACTGACACTTACCCCTCGCCGGACTTATTGGTTTTCAAAATACGCGCCGGCCGAAGGGGGGGGGGGGGGTTGGTACGACCCCCGTCGCTGTTTCGCCCCTGATGGAGCTAGAGCCCCGCGGAAAAAAACGAGCGTGTGCGCCGTTACGAGACGCAGCGACTGGTATCCGATTTTAAGGTCTCAGGCCAACCTGTGACCTCTGAGGTCAGGTCAAGTGACCCAGGCGCGGATTCATTTTTTATTAATAACTTCGCGAAAAAATGCGGCAGAGCCGTAATTTTGGTATCATCATGTTCGCCTCACTCAGGCGCGTCGAATGGTATACTTTTTGTTCGGCTGACGTTAACTTAAGGTGTTGACCGTGGGTCAAGGTCAGGTCAGAGTCCTCCAGATCACGAAGTTGGTTGAAGGAGGTCATGTTGCATATCATTGGATTCGGAAATTCTTCCTGAGTCCATTGGTGGCTTTCTCGACTCGCTAGCTCAATTTAATCGGGAGTTATTGACGAAAAACTCTTATTACCCTAGTGACGTCATAAATGACGTCACGTAAGACCAACAATGCATAAGTGAAGCATCGGACCTTGCAAGGAGTGCATGAAATCACGATTTCGTGTGCTTGAGATAGTTTATTAGGCTGGAGCCTGTCCGGCCGCGCCGCCCCCTACCTTGGTCAGGTCACATAGGGCGGCCGACTAGACATGTTCAAAGCTGAGTTGACGGCAAATAGGCAAAAACTGGCAGCTGAAACTTGCTCGCTTATGTTCAGAAAGGTGCGGAGAGTTCAGCCATGCCCTATTCGTCATATCCATTTTTATCCATTTTGACATTTTTCAACTTCTTTATTAAATACTATCGTGAGAACGATACACATGCAGGGCTCTTGTTCTAACTCATTAAACTCAAAAACCATTCATTGAAAAGCTACCATGATAGCAGAAACAGCTTCATCATGAACTGCGCTATCCGGTGATATGCTATTTTCTCATATATCTTCTCGAAACTTCCGTAAAATTTACGTAGAAAACTGGACATATTTATCAGTACCATAGCCCGATTTTAGGAACCGGAGCGTGGGTCTACTTTCGGCAGGGATATAAGTCCTCAAATGGTAAAGTGGCTTAAAAATAAGGTTCTATCCGATAACTTCAGACAATTTCCTACCCACTGATAGGTATAAATAACAGTTTATCGAAAGTCGGGTTTTTGATTAAATTCGCGCTAATCTGGTATTCGGCAAGACCGTGCGCCCTATTGGAGAGCGAGAAATGTGTGTGTGTGTGTGTGGTGTATTATATATGATATATATGTCGCGAGGAAGTGTATCGGCGGGGTGTCCCGACCAGCTGTTTAATGGGTTTTTGGATGTGTTGTTACGCCATACTGATCTCACTAAAGGAGCTAGGGCAGGCCAGGTCATCACACGAGATTTTAGTGTTTATACTCGGACCTAACGAAGGTCTGTTAATGTTCACCTGTTGGAAGGCGATAGTGGGATAGGCAGGTCCCTCAGTTCCCTCTTTCTCATCCTCAGAAGCACCAATCCTTCTCCTCCACGCCTCAAACGCCTGATCCGGGCTGGACGGCCACCCTTCAACAGACGCGAGTACTCACGAGTAGCTCTATAGGAGCAGGGTCTCGTCGGGTGACCGTTTGCGGGGCTGGGTGGCCTGTCCACTGTGATGGGCTCAGCCCCCCGGTGGCGCACCAGGGTGACTGCCCAGACCTGTCTCCTCCACCCCGTCCTAACATCCTTCCTCACAAAGGTCTCAAAGACCGAAGCCCAGCAAGACTAACAGGGTAGGTGGCACTACCGGGGGACCGGGATTCACCAATGTGCGTTGTCTTCCTGTTTGCGGGACTCAAATGCGCATTTTTTAAAGCAAAAACTTGCAATTATTTTGAAAATGCCTTTTCTCAGGCATCCCAATTTGAGGAAACCGGTGTCAAGAAAAAAAAAACTTTTTTTTTTTGCAGGCCAAGTGCCATTTTTCAGTTTATATAAAAAAAAATATGGAGCACGACGACCAAAACCATACTTAGTCCATGCCCTCCCAAAAACTGTGAACATTGTGTAATGGTAAATGTGATGGTAACTGGTATTCGTTGATGTGGTTCAAATGTAACCCCACTGTCGCTATTCACACAATCCGACTGTTATCTGTTATTTATCATGCCCACCCTGCGGACAGGCGCGCCTCAGAGAAAGAGCGACAGTGTTTGAATGATGAGCCTATTTTATGACGTTAGAATCGCAATATGATAAATACACACGTGTCATAAATGAGATGTGTATTACAGCCTCTTCCGTGGCCCCAGCCCGGATCCGTCGGACAATTCAGCCGATTCGTTTCGACATTATATGAAAATTGATCACGCCCACCAGGCTTCCAGCTATCTGGAAAGTAACAATTTGGCTGACCAAGACGATTGAAAGTACAAAGGATAAAGTGCGAACAACATTGCGCGATTTCATCTTCACCCACTTGTTTTAAGCGTTCATACACTAAACACGAGACACGTTTGAGGCTTGAGCGCTACACATCACACATGTCGAGACTTGCCAATTCATTTACAAAATACTTGAGCATTTCCAAGAATTGAAAATCAAAACAAACCACTAGTTATGATGGTCTCACAGACGTACACGTCATTCAAACGCGGAAGTAATGAATGCCTTTGGTCTGAGGTAAGCTGCTGCTCATCTATAAATGCTCATTGTTCGCGAGGGTGACACGCAATTCACTTGGCAAGAAACCCAAGGCATAGTATGAAATAAATCTCACGATCAACAACTTAATGTAACACCACAAAGAAAGAAACAAGTTGACAGAATTGGCAGCAAAGAAGAACAACTGATTTGTCACATAAGAGCGCAACAGAGAGGTCAACACCTCGCATCCTGTTCGGCACGGAGATGCGAGTTGGATGCGAGTACTCTGCACACGTTAACCTACCAACGATGCAAACACAGAAGGAATACAACTTAACCGTCTACCGTATGTGGATGGACCGAGTCAGCTCCAATTTGCGCAGCATGCTCGTCGATACTCACACAGCCCCGCATTCGCATACGATTGGAAACCCACTTAGGAAAACTCGCTCTGGCTGCTGAATGGAAGGAGTCAAAACATTGCCGGCAAAAGGGATATCACCTAGAGAGAAACCCTCCCGCCCCTAACTAGCGGGGCACAGCCGTCACTAGCTGAGGTCCCGGTGCCAGCAGCCTCCCCAGCGGTCACAGCACTTGAATCTGTCGCCGGCGCGGGCATCGGTCGGTACATCAGCTGCAGCATCCAGTCGCGGCTGACCGCCTTCCGGAACAGAGAGCGACTCTGGCAGACAGACGACGAGCGGCACTGGTGTTCACAGCACGTCCGAGAACGCCTTGGCACGGCACGCGTGAGAACGCCTTGGCACGGCACGCCTGAGAACGCCTCGGCACGGCACTCAGCTCGGGGCGGGCCGTGCCTCGCACGGTGTCGAGTTTCGATGCCTATCTCCCAGGTGGGTTCAGTGCCGCTGGCAGCACACAGTCTCAGGTCGGAGAGCGGAGCTGGCGGACGGAGGGCGAACCGGGCAGTCCCGGCCACACCGCCACACGCCGCCAGTCGAGTATTGGTCGGCACACAGGTCCCAGAAATCATCACAGCCCGTTCAGTCAGGAACAACACGAGCCAGCGCCGCGGTCAGGCCCTCATGGCAGGCCGGCGCATCTCGATGTCGTTAAATACTACAGGCCCACAAGAGGCCCTTGGTACATGGTAAGCGGCCGGTGGGAACAGCCTGAAACTCATCATCGTCCAACACTGACTGTATCAGCCACCACACAGCGGTAGGCTGCGGAGACAACCACAGTCCGTCGCCCAGCCCTCCGCTTCGAGACGGTGACTCACCGCTCCTCACTGGAAGACCGCTGCGGAGTCAGCAGCAACGCCAGCATGTTGAGCGGGTCGACAATCGTCGTCAGGGAGGTGCCTGTAACAGAGACGCACTGGTGAGGTAAGGTAGAAAACTGCAGCATCGAATCAGCAAGTGAGACGGAGCACTGCATACTAAGTGGGTGTTCCGAAATCAAGTCTACTGTTTGCGGGTGGCTCGCAGTATACATATACCGGGTCATTTAGACAGAACTCCTAAAGTTAAAATAAAAATAAGAAGCCTGATGAAACATGGCTATCTAAAACAAAACACGTAACTCACCACTCACAATAAATCGTCCAGCCCCGGTATGTCTCACCTGTGAGTGCCGGTTCGTTGGTGAGCACTTTGACCGTCGAGTAGGGCGCCTCGGGCAGCGGCCGCGGATGGCGCAGCGCAGCGGCCAGCAGGCGCGCGGGCTGCCAGCGCGGCCCGCCGCCGGCCGGCTGCAGGTCGCGCCGGTCCGTCACCTCCGTCAGCGGCTCGGAGGTGAGCAGTCGGCACTGACCCGTCTCGCAGCTCCACGAGAACGTGAACGAGGCGCGGTACTGGTGCCGGTGGACCGAGCCCAGCGCGCGCCGAGAGCCCTTGGACGCGCCGCGCGTCTTGATGGCCGCCTGCACGAGCACCACGGCCACCACAGTCACCTCGCCAGAGTCCGGGCTGACCTCCACAATCTCCACGTCGTAGTCGTTACAGAACCAGTATTTCTTGCCGGCCTCGGCGCACAGCGTCTGCGAGATCTTGTGGCACAGCTGCTCCATGTCCAGGCTCAGCTGGCTGACGAGCAGGCTCGGCAGCGCCAGTTTGTCGGCGCGACTCGCGCTCACGGCCTGCATCTGAGCGTAGCCGGCGCCGTGCACCTCCAGCGGCAGCGCATAGTGGTAGCCCGTGCTGTGGCTCAGGTCGTCCTCCTCAATATCGGTGGCCACCGAGACCAGCTCGTCGTCCACCTCGACGAACCGGCGACTGACGTGGACGCAGCAGGCGGCCGGCGACGGCGGCGACGCGGGCACCACGGGCGGCCGCGCGGCCCGGTCCGGCGGCCGCGGACTGGCCGTCAGGATGGACGCCTCTGACTCGCAGTCGCTCTCGGCCGTGAAGAACAGCTCCGGCTCGGTGTTGCAGCTGATGGCGCGCAGTACGTCTCCGTCCGAGGACGGCCGACCCGCAGGCTTCTCCTCCTCCTCCAGCAGCCGGCGTTTGGAGTTGATCCCGCCAGCAGGGCTGAGCAGCGCCTCACTGACGGGTACCAGGCACGGACCCGCCGGCGAACCGGCCGCCGGCCGAACGGCGGCGAAAAACCGCGGCACGTTCTCCGAATTCTCATCCGAGAACTCGTACTTTTTGTCCGCCAGTCGTTTGCGCCTGAACAGGCTGAAGTTCTCCCTGTGCGCGTCGGATCCCTCCTCTGAGAACTCGTACTCGTCGGCGCTCATGTTTGCCTGTCGGGCGGCGGGCAGGCGGCGCGGCCAGGGCCGGCCGCGGCGCTCGGCCGGGCTGGCCGCGCGCTCGGCCGGCTCCGGTAGCCGCCAGGCCAGCTGTCGGCGCGGCTCCTCGGCGCGCGGCGAGCGCAGGCGCGGCTCGTCGGCGCGCGGCGAGCGCGGGTCGAAGCGCCAGGGTAAGCCGCCGCGCGGCGCCGTCGGTAGCGGCTCTTCACTGACGTCCACCTCGAGACTGGCCAGCGAGAGCTGGTCGCTGCCGGCGCAGCTGGCGTCATCGGCCAGCTCGGCGGCCACTGGCGGCGGCGGCGGCGACTCGGCGGCGGCGGGCGCAGACAGGCCGGCCGTCACCACGTGCAGGAAGCTGCCCGTGTTGATGACGACGGCTCCGCGCCGGCGCAGACACAGCCGCGGCTCAAACTCGGGGAATGGCGGCACCAGCTCGAAGCTGGTGTGCACGGTGGCCCCGTGACGCAAACAGCTGAATCGCACACACGAGTCCCAGCTCTCGGCCAGGTCTGGGGAGTGGGTGGGAGCGGGTAGGGTCAGCTGGTGCAAACGACTTCACAGCGTGGATATCAATACACATAATGGATACGTATATGCTTCGCTATATTGACAATATCCTGATCATACAACTTCAGCAAGGCATTGTCTCTTTATCTTAAATAAATGGAAATAAAATAAGGAAATAAATGGATCTTAAATAAGGAAATAAATGGATCCTAAATAAGGAAAAGAAAGCAGTGATACTTTGAATAATATCTAATAAAGAGCTCAACTACGCCAGCTATTTAATACGCTTACGAATGTGGCTGTTTGAACAACACAAGGCCCTCAGGAATCTCCCCGTCAGCACGTACCGTCTTCGCCGTAGGACTCTGCCACCCGGACACAGTCGAGGCAGCGGTCCAGAGAGGGTACCGCCGTGATGGTCAGGTAGCCGCGCGAGCCCTGAGCGCCGTCCTCACACCGCTCACTGCTGCAGAGCGAGACACACAGTCGGTCAGAAGGAGCACGCAGGGCACACGCGGTCCATCTGTTAGTCTTTCAGCTCAGGCTCCACATAAAGACAGTCAGATGGACCACGCAAGGCACACGCGGTCCAGCAGTCAGTCATTCAGCTCAGGCTCCACACACGGACAGTCAGACAACACCACGGCATAGAGAATACGCACCGCCTATCAGTCAGTCATTCCGTACAGGTTCTGCACACGAGCCGTTAGACATTCAGTCATGATTCCTGCTTTTATCTGATGTGTATCAATGCTCATAGCTTTGGCGTGAAAGTAATCCTTATCTGGAAGGGTGGCAATGCTGGAAGAATGGTCCGTGTCATGATATTCGTTATTCAAACGCCATCCCATACATTACCGTTAGTGAGTATTCGTCACCGAGCTTAACTTCCATCGAAATCAGCTCCTATCAAATGTTGGCATCAGTCGTCGCGGAGTCAGAGGCAATTACGTCTTTTGAAGACGAATTCCCTCTGCAAACGCCTACTGGCAGCTAGTGCCAAAGAACCCAAAATTAGCCGGACATCAACATATTCTTGTCTGCTAATGAATTTCCCACAGATTATAGAACCTCCAGTCTACTCTAGACGTTTCAGTACAAGTAGGTGGCTGTCTGTAGGAATCTCGACTGGGCGAGCCGCGCCGCCGGCCGGCTCACCTGCAGCCGTAGACGACGACGCGGTGGTGCTCCTCCGGCCAGTAGCAGACGGCCAGGAACAGTCGGCTCTCCACCGTCTGCTCGCCAAACAGCGTCACCTCGGCGGCCTTGCGCAGCTTCTGGTGCGGCACAAACACCCACCAGTGCAGCCGGTAGCTGCCGGGCACAAACACCGAGTCATGACACAAACACCTACCAGTGCAGCCGGTAACTGCCGGGCACAGACACCGAGTCACCAGAGCAGCCGGTAGCTGCCGGGCACAGACACCGAGTCACGGCACAAACACCCACCAGTGCAGCCGGTAACTGTCGGGCACAAACACCGAGTCACAGCACAAACACCCACAAGTGCAGCCGGTAACTGTCGGGCACAAACACCGAGTCACGGCACAAACACACACCAGTACAGCCAGTGTCTGCCGGGCACAAACACCGAGTCACGGCACAAACACCCACCAGTGCAGCCGGTAGCTGCCGGGCACAAACACCGAGTCACGGCACAAACACCCACCAGTGCAGCCGGTAACTGCCGGGCACAAACATCGAGTCACGGCACAAACACCTACCAGTGCAGCCGGTAACTGCCGGGCACAAACACCGAGTCACGGCACAAACACCTACCAGTGCAGCCGGTAGCTGCCGGGCACAAACACCGAGTCACGGCACAAACACCCACCAGTGCAGCCGGTAGCTGCCGGGCACAAACACCGTCATACACCGTTTCACGGGAAAAACAACTTCTAACACGGCCACAACGTGTACAATGTTCAAAAGCCCCACCACACGCTATCCCACAGACACACAAACAGAGCACCATCAAACACTGCTGCATCGAACAAATGTATACCGCCACCTGCACAGGACACCCGCTGAAGAGCCATAACTAAATGCCAAAGTACGTGAGATACAAATGCAAATACAGTCACACAGTCATGGGTGACATCGCAATCAGTCGGAAACTTGCTCCGATGTTAGTTAGGTTCTTTTCAATTTTCATCCTCCACTTTGGCAATCAAGTTCATATAAGAAGAATCCACAATTGGTGCAGGCAGCGCAACACAGCATTTTTTACTGTTGGCACAGCGGCAAAATAAGGCATCCTACCCAGGATTAGAGTCTAGGTAATCTACCCGTGCATCCTGCACCAATTTCGGCAGCCTTTTTACATCTTACGCTCTCCTTAATTCAATAAACCTTTCTTTAAGGCAAGCAGTCTACGGCAGTCTAAGAAATCCTTATAGCCGACAACAAAAGGTTATTAAAAAGTTGCTGTTAGGAAAACTTCAATACTATTTTGATGAAGCCAGCTTTAATACTTCGATTCTTTATTACGGAGCGAGCGAAGCGAGCGTAGTCTTTCCTTAGATTAACGGAAATTTCTGAGCATGAGCGGCCGGCCGGCCGGCCGGCCGGCCGTGGTCACGCTTTTGCGAGGCTTATATCTCAGCAACCACTTGACCGATTTACACGCGGTAATTTTTGTAGGGTAGCTTCATTCCTTCTACCAAGTATTGGACTATTCCTGATGCATGTGGGTGACCCCTTATGCACGTGCCACGTGCAAAACGAAGAGGTGTCCGTTTTGTAATTGTTGCAATATCTCGGTAACTACTTGGCCGATTGCGCTGAAAGTTGGCATGTAGGTAGGCACCCACTAGGCACTGCATATCCATGTGCCATAGTTGGGGTGCTGCTGCACGTGCGCACGTGCAGGGGTCGATTCCAGATCTCGAGAACGGCTGGACCGATGGCGCTTAAATTTGGCACATGGTTAGGGACCGGTTAGTAGGGTGCCGTGCAAAAGTCAGTTGGGACCCATTTTGCACGTGCGCACGTGCAGGGTGCCGCTTCCAGATCTCGAGAACGGCTGGGCCGATTGTGCCCAAATTTGGCACATCGCTAGAGACCAGTTAGTAGGGTGCCGTGCACAAGTCAGTTGGAGGTACCCCTCGCAATTTCGCACGTGCAAGGCCCACCCTCTCGCTCGCTCCGTTAGTCGCCCCAAAAGGCGTTATACTGGTCCTTTAATCCTTTAATTCCTTATTCTTCTTATCCTTTAATTCCTTACAGTCATTCGGGACAGCACAAAGTTCATATGTGTAGGAAGCTCACCGAAATTGCATATATATGCTTGAAGTCTCGTCGAACTCCGTGCTCTGCGTATACGAGATCACGAATTGGCCACATTTGGAGAAACCTAGGAATATGTGGCTGAAACATACAAGCAAAAACATAGTAAATTGAGTGGCACCACATATTTGTATTGGTATATCGTTTTGGGTCCTATATGCCCTTAGCGGTCCGCGCTCCCTTAAGATCCAATTAACAAATAAAGTAGCACCGTGGCTTAGCTAAAATATCAGCTGAAAATGAAATGTTGATGTTAAAAAACATGTAATTACTAATTGACGCCTTGGGTGTAGCAAGTGCTTTAGCAACTGACTGAAAGTAAGAATTAGGTAATCAAGACACTTCATTTGGTGTGTAAGCTGCTCTTCAAAACTGTTGGTAAACACTGCAAAGTATTTCACAACTTACATTTAAAATGCGTATCTCCTTTTCAATCATGATCTACGTGCTGATAAATGTATGCCTGATGCAGATCTAGTATAGGTATATCTTACTTGTTCAAAACAGATGGTGATGGAACAATATCTTTTAAGCAGAAAGCAAGTCTGCCAGGAAACTTGTTGAACAATGAAGCTGGAACTTTTGTTTTCTTAGGAAAGCTCCCTGAAAGCTGAAGTGAGAGGAATTCGAGTTAGTCATAATGATAACTGATACAGCAATTGAAGGAAATTATTTGCGTAACTATTAACCCTCGCCCGTATTGACCATTTTACAGCATTAACGTAAAGGAAAGGTTTGGCCCCTGATCGAGCTAGATATTCGTGGAAAAAACGAGCGTTACCATGGAGAGAGGAAGCCATTGATACCCAATTTTAAGGTCCTATGTCATTGATTGACTTCCAAGTCAGGTCAATGACCCAAAAGTCGGGAAGTCGGGACCTGCTAGAACTTTATAAAGTCAGGCTGTTGTGATTTTTCTGGGCCGGTGTTGATAACGAATTTCAAGTTATTTTTGATTAAAGATAATGTCCTCATGAATTTAGGCTAGGTCGGATTAGGTTGTCAGGTCAGTTAGTAGGCGCCCTGCCGGCTATCCTGCCGGTATCCTGCCGGTACGTGTAAACCACCACTCGGCACCGACAGTTTCGTAACATGCTACGTCGGCACCAAAACTACATCCTTCGTAAATGCTCAAATGCGTGCTTAATTCGAAATCAACTAAAAAACTATCCAAGATACATGTAAAACTCTCCAAAAAATGGGCAAAGGTCACCTAAGGTCAGAAGCCTTGACCTGACATTCACGTGACCTAGCACCCACCAAAATGCATGGGACAAACATCATCTCACATGTTTAAGCGATTATAACCATAAAAAGACTGGAAACGCGCGGATAATGTGAAGTAAAATATGTACGTCAAATCGCGATTCCGGCCAAACATGAGCTCCGTTCGGCGACCGAGCGACCGAACACCGTCATGGTTTCGAGAAACAGGTCACAGGTCAAAGGTCACTCAGGTAAGGGTCATGCAATTTTCAGGGTAGGTGTAAAATTGATCGACTCGAGGGCACTGAAAGTTTCGTCCCGATCTGCAGCTTTTTGCGTGATTTATTCGTGAAAAAACGGCCCGTTTCCTTCGACCCTCCCCCTCTATAAATAAGTGCGAGGGGCAAATCAAGAAATTGGATAAGCCCATAATGAGAAATTCAATTATGATAGCAGCAATGAGTATATACACATTACACAGTCTTCTCTGGTACATCCTCATAGTAAGATTAAAGAAGTACTTGCTCATATGCACTAAACAAGACAAAACACCTAGGTAAGTGCTGGGTTCCTACCTGGCGGTGCATCAGCTTGCAGGGAAGAGAAGTCTCATTAAGTTTCTTCATCTTGCAGCATCAGAAGTGCACATCAAACAAAAAAAACTAGAACTTCACTGGATTCCTTCAGTCGAGGTAGGTAGGAATGCTGGTTATATCAGCCAACACAAACCTGTAAACATATTACATATCCATTATGTCATATTAGCTGAAGCCTCAGGATTCTGTTTCAAGCATCACACAATTGCACTGGTTCATGGTCAGATTGATAATTGATGTACATATCATGCTATTCATAGCCACATACAGTATATAATATGCAGTATATACTATGCAGCATGCATTCTGTCTGTCTGGTGATATCACATATCCAAGAGAACAACCAAAATGTCAGATATGCTTAGTTTCTTTTTAATGAAGGTTGGTTAATTAAAAGCCATACTGCAGAACAAACTGTATCTGTCTACTCAATTGGCACTTAAAGGAAATAGTTCACTTTCCTGAAATTAGTATTTTGCTATGGATTTATGATTTGTTATGCTCAAAATGATCAGAAAATAAAATAAAACCTTTTTGTAAAAACAATTATTTTCTATATTTTAATATAGGACGAACTATATTCTATGTAAAATAATGTTCGACGCGGAAGCTTATTACGCGTTGACCAATCATATTGCGTAGTTCAAACCTACGCATGCTGCATTGGCTGTAAGCAGCATGCTGATTGGCTGACGATGACGTGGCTGCATTCCTGTACAAGGCACACATTCCTCTGCAAGGCACTCTTTTCGGAACGAGAAATGGAATATCTTCGTCTAGGGTGATCGTTGAGCCGTAAAAGCTCCTGATTTGTGCTTGTCTCAGCTCAAGCTACGAAACTGCTATTCCAGTTCAAAACCCCATGTTAAAAGTGAACTATTTCCTTTAAGTGCAATAAAGGATCACTCACTGCCATGAGTTCAACATAAGTCATAAACAATCAGTTTCCTTACAAAGTCAAATGTCCTGCATTCTAAATGCATGCCCTCCCAGCCCAACCATCCCAAACCAAACATCTCAAACACATTCCCAAGAAAAAAACACTTGTTGCAGCATAATGAAGCCAGTAACCACATCTATAAGGGATTACCTATGTAGGGGAGGGAGAGGGAGAGGGAGAGGGAGAGGGAGAGGGAGAGGGAGAGGGAGAGAGGGAGAGAGGGAGAGAGGGAGAGAGGGAGAGAGAGAGAGAGAGAGAGAGAGAGAGAGAGAGAGAGAGAGAGAGAGAGAGAGAGAGAGAGAGAGAGAGAGAGAGAGAGAGAGAGAGAGAGAGAGAGAGGAAGGGAGGGAGGGAGGGAGGGAGGGAGGGAGGGAGAAACTGAGTGGAGAAACTGAGTGGGAGACCATGCGGTCTCCCACTTTATGACTTTATTTACATACTTGTGGTCCACAAATAGGAATGAAAGGGGAAATTCACTTCACAGGCACTTCACAGAACAATATTCTGCAATCCATGGAATATCAAAATAACTCTCCATATGGTATTGGTGCTTCAAAACTTGTTTGTGCCATAAAATATTAATAACTATCAGCTATGAAATCAGGAGGTCAAAGAATATCATGTGATTTGCTTCTCACTTCAACTTGGGGATCGCACCTAAAGCAAATTGCTGACAGGTCCTTGAGCAAATAAATACCTAATTTGATTTGGATTGGAATATATTCAAATTCCACACAAAGTGAAAGGTCACTGTCATGTTTGAATTTCATTGTACTCTGGCACCCTAATTCAGAGTTTCAAGTTCAACCACTCGCTCCAGCTCTTGAAGGCTCAGGCTGAGGTGTAGGTGTAGGTATGTCACCATTAAATCAAGTCCAGTGGAAAATAAAAATATGATATATTATGTCGAAGTCATACATTCAAACTGTCACAGATTGAATTAACTACAATGAAAACGCTTGGTTATGATGGCCTCTCCGACCTCACACATTAAACATGGGAAGCCATTAACAAAAAATAGCTATATTACGGTACTTATCTAATCGATCTAACATCAGTAGGCGGAACTATGGTCATGAGTACCCAAATATAGGAACGTTCCCATTTTTGGGAACGGAGTTCCCAAATATGGGAACGGGCGTTCCCATTTATGAGAACGGAAGGCAATTTTTCGGCCGTTCGCCCACTAAAACTCAAAAGTGCATCACGTCTCAAAAAAGTGCACGCTGATTTAAGTATCTACTAAATCTCCATAAAGTTATCTTTAATCTGACCGTGGAACAAGGAAATTGACCGTGGAATGATATTTTTAATGATTTTTTAAAAATGACAGAATGGTGGAAATATGGGTTATACGACATTTAACATGCAAGTTTAAGGAAAATGAAGCATTTTTTACATTTTGAGGTCAAGTATAATAATTTTCGCCTGGTTATGAAGTTTCATTCTAGCGACACCAGATGATGACATATGCAAGCGAACACGCGGACAGTCCCGAGGTAATATTGTTGACATTTGGTGTCGGGGCGATCGACCGCGTGGAACGTCAGTGATTTTACCGAACTACTGTTGTAAACTCAGTTTCAGTGGTTTAAAATCATTCAGCTGTATTTTATCAGCCCTGAAAGACATATTTTATTTGGATGCTAGCTGTTTAGCGTTGTTTTATAAGCAGTGTCATGAGCGTGGTTTTTGTCTTCGGCGTTTCTAAGCATGATCGGTTGGGGGAATTTCTCTGATATAGGTCGCTCTGTGTGGCTTATTTATAATTTTTATGCTGATTTCGATCATACGTCGTGCCCATCCTACCAGGCCTTTTGCCACTTACACTCATTAAGAAAGGAAAAAACTAGATTTTCATTGGGACTAGGTGTTTTGAGGGTGTAACATATTCAGCGTTCCCATTTTTGGATACTTCTTGTGCTCGTCAACTCTCGGTGATTAGCAGACAGGTGCTTGACATGTCTCCACCCTCGGCGCGGACGGTGGATATAGGTATGGAAGACCTTGTTGAACATCGCTGAGCGTTGTGGATTACGTAATCCTGCAGAGGGGGGCGTGCCCGCTGCGAGATCGACGGGAATAAAAGCGCAGAAGACCGGGCGAAACATGCAACGGTCTTGCCGGAAAGGTCATCTGATGATTGTTGCGTTAACAATAATTTGCGGCGTTGGACGTGATGCTTGTTAATGAAAAGAGCCCCTGAAAGGCGTCGGTGAAATCGTTCCCAATTTTGGGTACGCCGTTCCCATAATAAGGAACGCTTGCAGCGCCAGTGTACGACAGCGTTCCCAAATTTGGGCTCGCGGCCCGGGTGATGGACTGCTTTAGAAATAGGGGAACGATTTGAAACTACGATGGGCCTTACAATATCAAACTCTTTCCCAACAATATTGAGACAACTATCAGGCGGTTCACGATCGTTTTATATTTTTTGGACGTCATTTAACAGTTCTTTTTCTTGTTTTAAATAATGCCTACATGGCGTTCCCATATTTGGGTTTATCGTTCCCAAACATGGGAACGAAAATGCGTTCCCGAAAATGGGTACGCTTGACCATAGTTCCGCCTACTGACATCAACCTCAACCGCTGATCGTTGAAAAAGAACTGAGGAATCGGAATCAGGATTCAGGAATGATTCCAAACAGTTTTCAGTGCCGCCTGCTATTCTGACACTTTAAGCTGCTGCTTGAGCGCATCAGCATAACTTAATATTTATTGGCATAGCTCAATTCAAAATAGCACATAGGGTTTGTTCCCGTCGCTCCTCTAACCTCCTCCAAGCTCCTCTAACCTCCTCTCGTTTCAAAAAATCGTTCCCGTCGCTCCTCCAAGCTCCTCCAAGCTCATCTTGATTTCACATCTCACCACCGCTATTTGCCTCCTCCCTCATCCCAAACGAAAGTTGGTTTTTTGGAAGAGGCGTCCTTTAGTTGGACGCTAGGGCCTGACGGCTGCGCGCCCTAACCCACAAAGAAGGAAGAGGCTCTTGCGTAGACATATTTGGCGCACGTAATACAAATGTGAGTTGCTTATAAATGAGATTTGAGGGAAGTGGAAATGCTTTTAGTGATTGACGACGATTGGATATCTTTAAATAATAATGTTTGATATTAATCTAAGGTTGTTTTATTAGAAAGCGATTATTATCTCTTGATTTATGTTTGCGCGCCATAAATCGCCGACCGTTACAGCCCGCAAACAGTTGATTTCCTCGCGAAAATGTTCCCGTGGCTCCTCTGAAACGGCTCTCCTCCAAGCTCATCCAACCTCATCCGAGATTATGAAGAAATAGTATGAAGCGCTCTAGCGAGGAACATCTTGATATATGTAGTTTGAATTTCAAATGACCTTTTCCTCGATAATTAATTGAAAATGTAATAAAAAGCAAATATTATATTGTTTGGCAAATTTTCGAACAACAGTTCATTCTCAAGCCACATGAAACAATTGACAACGAAGTTTTATAACTGCCGCCAAGCCACTTTTTTAAATTCTTACACGTGATATACAAAGTGGTCTTCTTAAAATCGGAAAGCTGAACTAAATCGATCATATCCCAAGCTGTTCTAACTCCACCTATTCCACATATACATCCACACATACATGACCATTAAAAGTAATATGCGAGCACACCCACACAAATACATACAATATGGTTCTTCTTGGTCGTGGATCGTGTCACATTAAAACAAAAAATAACAATACAAACACTTCGAAAGTCTCGTAGTAGATCGTGTCGTACATAGGCGTAGGAACGTTTTCGAAAGTGGGGGGGCCAAGGTCCCAGAGGTCCAAAACCTAACCTACCCCCAAAATCCGATTTCTCCTCGGATTTCGGCCACTTTGTTTTCGCAAACATGATCAGAGATAAAAAAAAAATCGAGACAAAAACAAAAACAAAATTGGTTAAAATTTCAGGGAGACTCCCGTCCATAAACTCAAACTGATGGACGCGTTCCCCTGTCCTCCGCAGCCGTTGGCACCCATGCAAATTCCAGAGGCATCCAGCAACTTTTTCATTACGAGCAAGCGTGAAACGTGCAAAGCGAGTCTTTTCAATATACCTATAAAAATCAGCATGAACGGCCCAGCTAGGCTCAGCCAGACCTATAACGTTTTTAAGAGGTTTTATATCAGCGACCACTGCAACTGGGCTGATTGACTATCAGAGGCCGGTGTGGGACTTTTAGAGGTCGGTCTGGGCCATCAGAGGCCAGTTTAACCCTCGCCGGAC